ATGTCTATCTAACATTAATATCCTGAATAAAATCAATTTCAACCACATTGCCCATGCCTAGGAGCTCTCAGCTGTTGGAAGGATTATTTAGCAGCAGTGTGTTGTGTTGAAGTAGTTCTGGTAATGATGCTAACTGAAGTTAGTGTCACCAAGACTGTTGATCAGTGTTCAGAGGGAACAAAATGAGGCTGTGATAACTTCCTGTTCAACAAAGGTGCAAGTCTAATTTAACAAAACATCTGTGACCTTATACCACCCTGTTTCCTCCTGCTAGGCATCTCCAAACTGCAGCATGTGCTTAGATGGACTTGCATGAACTCACATGTACATGCATTGAGCAATACAGGATGTGAGGCTGGTGCTACTGTCTGAAGTAGTACATGATGGAGCTGTGCTACGCTTAAAGGATACTTCCTCATTAAAATAACATGTTTGAATAGAAGTACTCTCCAAACAGCATCACTGCTATGAAATAGATGCTGGTTTTACATTTTTACATCCACAAACAGTTGCTTAAGCATAATGGATTAACATATACTGCTATAATTATGGAGGTCTCTGTCAGATCATGTAAGCACAGCTCTGATGGCAGGTGTTCCTGTGGTTTCAGCCGGTACCTGCACTCATCAGCACATTGTGGGCGGTGGGGTGCCAGCACAGGATGCCAACACGTTTGGAGTGACCCTCCAGCTTGACAACAGGATCTGTGAGTGGCGAGGTCAGGCCGCCATCCGGGATTTCCCAAATCTATTTTCCATGGAAACAATATAGACTCACATTACAGAGTAACATTACAATACAACATCATGTCATGAATAAATATCTGAAATACTTGAAGGATCAAACTTAAGACTCTGATAGAGAGTAGTACTGCATACCATGACACTGCAGTCCTCAGAGCCACTGGCAATGATGTTGTCATTGTGAGGACAAAACTCAATGTCCAGGACCGGCCCTGTGTGTCCGCACACAGTGGGGTAGGACATGTCGATACGTCCTGTCTGCAGAGAGAGGAACATCAAGACAGATTGAAAAAGTGTACGTTAAAGCCAAGGGAATTAAAGGTCACACACAACTAGGATGGAGTAAAACAACTTGATGATTTTGTCAAGGTGGTGGAACATAGTTGATAGTCAGCTGATACAAATACCACAGCTATGCCTCCAATTACTTCTAATGTCTAGTAACTGGGTTAGAGAGGAGATCAGGGCCAAGGAGATATAATCCCATTGCTCCTCTGCTCCTCTGAGCTGCTGCCCCTCAAAACACCATGACTCATCCAGGGCAAATTAAATATTAAATGTATGTTTTATGTGTTTGACTGAAATGTCTGTAAAGACATTTTAAGCGCTTTTTTCTGCATAATGTGTCAATGATATCTGGCTCCATTATGTGTCTGAGGTTGTTCTTTACCTAATTGGTTTATTAATAGAAACCTTAACTCAAGTCATTGATCCTTAAGAAATAATTAGACAAACATCTTAGCAACAATATTCATTTTATAACAGAATGAGTATTCGACTGCAATGTCATGCCCACTGGTCCCTTAACACATTTTATCCCATGAGAATTTATACTACAGGAGAGATAAGACCATGACTAATGTGTATTCTGCAGGGTTCACTAGGTTATTTGAATACTTTTACCATTGAATGTGTATTAGTTCATTTTTGACTGTCATACCGGCCATAATATGAAAGTATGATACAGTAACAATATGGCCTCAAATGATTTTACTATAGCATTTTTTCTCAATACATCCCAGCAGTATATAAAACAAACGATTTAACAGATAAAAAAACATGACCTGGTCTTATTTGAATAAAATGGATGAATGGCTTGACACATAGAACAACTTATTTTCTGAGAGCCCACAATCACATATAAAAACATTTTATACCTAACATCAATGAGTGTAAATTAAATGTAAATACTTTTTAATGCATTCTTTTTGGGGGAAACTGAAAGTAAGCTTTCAAAACTTTTTAAGACCTGCAGATACCTGACAGTAAGAAACGCGATGAAGAAAACCATATGAAAGAATAACTACGTTGAAGCCACATCCTGCCCTGACTGAGCTGACAACAAACTCCTAATATGGTGAAAACTTCTCAACAGCAGAGCGTGTGACGTGTAGAAAGACTCAAAGTCGGCATCAAACTTCCTTATTTAGCAGAATGTTTGAAGGTGACTGGCAACATTGAAAATGTCTAATATAAGCATAAAAAAACACATCACAGCATCTGAAATGTTTAACACATCCTTAAATGTTATGAAGAGAAGTACAAGTGCGAGATATTCGTTTTCTTATCTTCTTTGGCCAATGCAAGCATTTCCTGTGACCCACCTTGCTCAGGGGCAACACCATGAAGGCTCCTCCACCACTGGCATCCACAATCATGGCCACAAACTTTGGGTTTACGGAGCAGAAGTTGCTGTCCCACGTCATCTGAGAGATTCGGATGTCATCGTAGCATTGGTCATATTTCACAGCCTGGCCAAAGACGTGACGGAACTTACTGGACCTCACAACCTTCCTAGACATGGTGAACTGAACAGAAAGCAAGGGTTATTATGAGGACAGGCACAGAAGGAGAAAGGCAGATTTATATTTGCAGGAAACCTGTTGCAAAAATAGTCTCTTGCAATGCAAACTATTGGTGTGCATTTCAAAATCACACCAAACGACCTCATTTGATTGCATATAATACTAATGTCAAAAAGAGTTACCTTACCTGTACTATTTCCTTTTATATTTACGCTTGTAGATTTCATGTAGAAATAAACTGACAGACACTAAACTGACGACAAAGATGAAGAACACGACAGAGGATAGCTAAAAAAAAGAGGAAGCAAAGGCTTTCACAACTGCTTCCTCTAGTCTGTTTGTAACTGCTACTCTGTCCCATTATCACTCTTTAATTTGGAAGTCTGTGTTGGTTTAATAATTGTTCATGCAGAAAGCAATTGTACAAAACAACAGCAGAAAGATAACAATACTATTTACATGATTTAGGCTGCACGTTCTTTAAGCCTAAGAGTGTAACCCAAAGCTGCAGTTACACCACTTCCTTCAGAGGGAGCAACAAAACCACCAATCTTTCTTTTTTTTGCTATATTTGACGTTCACATAATCATGCTCTCATCGATTTTCCCACAGGTGGAAAGCAAAGTAACATACAATAAATGTAGTCTTTGCTAGAGGAGGTATGTGTTAAGCATCAAATAATGCACCATCTAGTCAATACTAACTGTAAAACTGTAAAAAAAACTATAAAAAAACTTGAAACTCCATAAAATATACAGAATAGGTTTAGCTTTACCTCCATTTGTAGATTTTACTTCCTGAAATCTGCAGCCACGCCTAAGCTCAGACTCAGAGGAGCACAACAGCTTTGCTGCATGGGCATCACAAGACCTCTCTAGCTCTCTGCACCTAATTTAATTATCCTTTATAGAGTGAGTTGTAATTTTATTAGGAGCCTAAATGCATGTCAATAACCTCTCTCTCTCTGTCTCTGTTGTGATGGGAACAATTCACTAGCTTGAAACAGCTGAACTCAGGCCATGAGGAACATGATATATCAAATATGCTAGATTCAAATCAACGACATTCTGTTATCGTAACCTGTTTTTGACCTATCATATATAGATGAAACAATATCCCCACGGTTGTTTTGTACGTGTAAACAAACTGTGTGACAGATGTTGCAGGCCTACCTGAGAGTCGTGTGGGAGCGATTCAGCTGAAGGAGTTTCGGCAGAGCACCAAACACCCTGCCACCAGAATGAGGACTTAGAGGAGACAGTAGGTTAAAGTACATTTCAAAAGGACATGGAGGAAGTGAGACTTTCAAATGAAGGTGGAAGTGGGAGGTGTCTTGCGTGACATTTTGGGGTTGAAAAGCCGAAGAAGGGGAAGATGGTGTACGTTTTATGAGATCATTTTGTAATATTATATCAAGAATTGTGAGAACAATGTAGATGAGTCTGTTTCAGGTGTCAATAAAAGCAGAATCAGGACGTAATTACACAGAATCGCTATATTGCAAATGAGGGATGAAACCTGAGGAAAGGTTTAGATGAAGAAAAACTGAAATGTTTTATTCTTATTCATTAAATGTACTGAACCAAATGCCTATATCAAAGAACATGATAGTGTAGAGTATATTATAGTGGAGGCCTACTTAGTCTACTAAGTAGACCTTCCGGATTTCTCTCACATTGTGCAGTTTTTGAGCACAAAACACTAACCCTGACTCATAATTGAACCAATATTACATTTCCGATTACAGTTCCAATAATAAACTCAATTTTAACTTCAAGCACATCAACAATTTCATGGTTAACTTTGGCTGTGAATTAAGTCTTGTTAAGTCTGAAGTCAGCCAGGAGAGTCACAAAGAACATTTCATTGTGGAAAATGTAAGATTGAGGGTATGGCCTATACAAAGTCAGTATATCACCCTCTGGTCCTTCAATTATGACAATTATGTCTCTTGCCAGTTATGGACAGGCAATTTAAAATTTCTGGAACACCTATTTAAACACCTCACCCTGGGCTATAACTTTTAATTAACCTGTGCAATTACAACTAATTTACTTGTTAGAGATGAGGTTAAGTTGTACTAAGGTTTTATTACAGAGCTCAGAGAAATACGTTTTTATGCCTCGTAATAACATTGCCACACACACACACACACACACACACACACACACACACACACACACACACACACACACACACACACACACACACACACACACACACACACACACACACACACACACACACACACACACACACACACACACACACACACACACACACACACACACACACACACACACACACACACACACACACACACACACACACACACACACACACACACACACACACACACACACACACACACACACACACACACACACACACACACACACACACACACACACACACACACCTCTAAATAAAAGAAACATGGATGAAAGAGATGGCCAGTTTTAAAAATATAGACTTCAGTTTATTGCACAATCGTTGCTGGAGACTGAGGAGTGCAAGAGCCTGTCTGTTACACAGGACACTGATGTTTGACACATGAGTGAAACAACAGCACAGGAACAAAATGTGTTTGTGCACACACACACACACCGGATAATGAGGCACTCTGGGGATGCAGTCAGCCCCCGTCAGTGCATAAGGGAGAAATGAATGTTGACAACAGATGTAATGCTTGTGTGGACTCTGCAGGAGAGCTCATACACACACGTTAACATACATGGTTAGGAAATATAAATAAAAAGTAACTGCAAACCAACGCAGACAGTATTACACAATGTCAATTATTTTCATTTGCCTGCAGTATGGCTACAATAATGCCTGCATCAGTGCACACGAACTTTCACTAGATGGAGCCACGCTTACTCCTTTGTCAGTTAGAAAATGTGACATTGCACATATGAAATGATTATAACAGACAGACCCTCCAGAAATCTCCCTTCATCCTAAAAGGGCTTGTCTCTTTATCTGTACACATTGACCAGTGTCATTATTAGGATCCACAGAATTACAGTTATCAGAATAATTAGAATATAACAATACAGGTAGTCGATTATAAACAGGTCATTAACAGGCTATCCGGCACCTGTGTTATATTAAAAAATGAATTTTGTTATGTTAGTTATGTGTTCCTACATCTTGTAATTTTTTCATTTAACACACAGCAGAAGGACAACATTTGTCTGGCCAGGTTTCACTCCTGTAACATGGTTTTCTGAGAAATATTCCACCATCTTTGTCCCTTCTGTCCAATCTGTTACCCAGTTAATATGAACAAGTTGGACACATAGGACAGGCGGAGGTCAATGGAGGTCTTGCAGCCATGTTTCAGACGGCAGAGGACAGGCCTTGAATGTTACAGCTACTGTTATGGCACCCTGAGAAGTGGGAGACCCAGGATGTTGGCGCAAATCCCTCCGTTACAGCGTATCAGCTGTTTCAAACAAACACAAAAACGGACTTCACTGTTACGTATCCTTCGGCTGATAATGCATAGATAGACCAGTGGTTGTCACGAGGTATTCACATGCCTGCCAAGATTCCCCACAATAGTAACAAATAATTCCTTACCAACATAAAGAAAGTGGTACATTTAAATAATCAATGCATTCTTAGTTAGGGTCACAAAAAGGTCAAACAACTCTACATTAGCACTGAAACCATTATTTTCTGTGTTCACATACATATGGACACATCTAAGCAAACACACATCTTGGATATTAATCTGAAGCTCAGCATCGAGCAACGTCCCTCACTCATATTTCCCTTGGCTGTGATAGAGAGCAGCCGCTTCTGTGAGGCAAAATCCAATTTCTTCTTATCCTATATTTTATTCCCTTAACATATTGTGTATGTATCCAAAGAAAATTAAACGGGGTATATCGTTTGCATTGTATGTATATATAATCTACATACATGTATTTACATTATTTATATGGACTTTAAATGTTTCAGAACTCTAATTTACTTTAATCCGAAGCCCTTTTAAGAATTATGAAGAGTGCAGTTTATTTGAAATTGATGTTATGCCTTTTGATCTTTGAAAACCTCCCACTACCCACAGTCTTTTCCTGGAGCGAGTGACATGGCCTGCGGATGGCTACAATAAACAAACAATTTCCGAACACTATGAGACATCAGCATCTGTTTTATAGCTACTTTCATGCATATTTTTTTCAGTTTCATTCAGTGGCCAATAACACATTAGTTTCAGTTTTTACATTGTACCACAGTTATATAGGTAATTATCACTGGGTCAGAGTGAAACTAGCAGACATTAGGTGTCTGACTTTTAATCAAGGGGAGGTGGGGAGGACGCAGTCTGGGACTTGTGTACGTGATTAAGACCCTGTGAAATCTGTCTTCACCTATGAGTCAGTGTTAGCACAGGAAGCAGAGGGTGTGCTACACCTCGATCTCTGCTAATTTGGCAAGATAAAGTGTGTCTGACGGGATTGGCAACTAGTCAGTGGGCAGCTGTGACTGTTGGCATGGGAAACAAGTGCAAAGTCATTAAGAAAGTAAAGTCAGCCTGTGGAAAATAAATCAACCACTAGTCTCGAGCATGAAGGAACAGAGCAACAGTTTCTTTTACTCAAGAGTAGTGCCTGAGATACCACAGAGGAACACAGTGGCAAAACAATCATGGACATTCACACAGAACTGATACATAAGAGGAGGGGACAGGGGTTCATTCCGGTTGGTTCTCAGCCAGTTCAACACAACTCTGCTCTTAAAAATAGTGCCTAACCTCTATTCAGGTAAAACATATCTACTCACAGAACATAAATCCAGCTGCAGAGCATATTCCGCGCATTTAAATAAGAACACATAAATATTGGTAATAAAGTGCACCATTCTGTGGCAACAGTGAGTGACCCTTATAATCCATCAATCAAGAGTCAGTGTACAGGCAAACATCCAAATACATAAAAAACTTTTTCATTCAACTTAAAAAAAAGGACCTAACATCCTTAAAATCTAAGATCATATTCCTATTCTGTAAGAATGCTTTGCTTGCCGATTATTGTGATTGTTATTGTAAATGGCAATGCATAGAGACACATCATTTTTAACAATATTACTGAGGGACAGAAGTCAAAAATCATTTTGGAAAAGGTGTGTAGGGAGAATATATGAGGAGCTAATCCTCTGGATGTGCACAGTTAGAATAAAACTGAAGATTTTCTCTGACCTCTATCTTGATCTGTCGTCCTGCACAGCAGTGATTGGTTTAAACAGCCGGCAGAAACACAATGTTACCTGTATCTGTAAGTTAATAGAACTGAGTAAAACGCGTAACAATTTTAAACAGTTCATAACAGTATTTTGTGCATAATGTTCCAATAGTCAGTTACAGTGTAAAGATATTTAATTATTTAGGAATTAACAATTACAATCAACAAAATATGGAAATGTAACTTTCCTTTAACTTTCAGTGATATATATACGTAATTACGTATATATATATATATATATATAGTGTTTTTTCAGTGTGATATTTATCATCATAGTGCCTGTTCATATCTGTTCTGTGATTTTCAAGTGCACATAGGAAGGCTCTTCTCCAGAACAAGTGTGCATAAAAGATTTGAACGCAGCTTATAACTTCAAAGTTATAAAACCTCAACTTCAATAAATATAAATAGTGGTTACAATCGTCCTTACAATGGCAGATTTTTACAAATGTAAACCAATAAATAGGACTTTGCTTAGTCGCCAAAGCAAATTTGGTGAACAATAATGCCTCTGAACAACACAGTTTTAAAATGTGTGCACCAGTCACGTGCCGCCTAAAGCAAGTGAACTGTTAACATGCTAGCAACCTCAGGAATGAACCCCCGCACCGATCTTAATTTCCTCGTCATCATGTGACATTACTGACAAATCAGACCGACACAGGAAAAAAGAGGCAGTGGCAAAAAAACAAGTAAACAGGGACAGAAGAACCAGTCCAGTAACACTCTGTCAGTTGGACGTAGTGAAACTCTATGAGTGCTTTGTGCAGCACTAACAGTATATATACATGTAGTACAAAAGAAAAAGGTGTGAGGTTGTCTGAGAGTGTGTGTTGCGTGTGTGATGTGCATGACATATAGATGTGCTGCATAGGTAGCAACAGTGACATCTGAGCATGTGATATTTTCAAGCCTAGAACCGTCTTCACCAACCAAACTAACTAATGCTTTAGGAAAACTTCTGTTATTAGGCTAAGGCTTCAAACTCAGCCTAACCTTTACTAGAACCTTTAATTAAGACGTCATAGTGTTCAATACTCAGTCCTTATATTTAGTGTTTAAAATGTACCATTGTGTGTGTAAGTGTGTTTGCCCGTATACACCTGTGTTTGTATGTGTGTACGTAAGTGTGTTTATGTGTGTGTCCGTAGACACCTGTGTGTCCATGTTTATGAAAAGACACAGTCAAAATGCTTGTGCATGTAACTTGACATACTTTAGCCTGCATTGGCAAAAAGTACCTAGATGGATGTAGATATGAACATTCTGAATTTGAGTGCATGAGGTGAACACATGCACGTACAACACCTCGCTGCATTAGTTCGCGCTGATGACCCCTCCTCCCCCTCCCCTACGCAAACACCCCCCTCCCCTCAGAGGTCCTTGAACCTTAGATCCTAGTGCTCCTTGTGAGGGGGTGGGGTCAGTCTGAGGGACAGTTGTAGCTGTTGATCCACAGCAGGTCGTCCAGCACACCCCAGTGCAGGTAGAGAATGGAGCCTACCACCAGTACATGCATGATCTGGTGGCTGTTGCACCAGTAGTCAAAGAGGCCAGGGCGGAAACGCTCCGGAATGCGTGTGATGTTGATGACCCCGCCCAGCACGGCCAGCACATCCATCATGAGGAAGTGGCGTAGCGAGGTGGGGCTACCGCCACCCATGCCCACCCCGCGCAGGAGAAAGAAGGAGAAGCGGAACAGCGCCTGCCAGGCAAAGGAGCGCAGGCGGCGGATGCTGCTCCGCGCGGTGACGGCGCAGTAGATGGCGTGGCTGGACAGCAGGATGTAGACTAACAGGGCCACAGTGCGGATGAACGGGTAGCACAGCAGCGTGCTGTAGACAATGGGCAGCGCCCCTGAGACAAGAAAAGAAACAGAGGAGAGTCAGCACAGAGATGGAGCGCCCTACTCAGCACGATGCAACGCCTGGTGCAAGCCACAGTGACACAGAGGTCATATTGTTTGTACAGAGACACTGCTCATTCAGAGGGTGGTGAGCAGCAGTCACAATTGCTGGTTGCACTGTCGCGGACATTCATTTCGGAAAATGTTTGTCTTTCTCACATGCCTGCCACGATGGTCCTTCAGAATTGTTTTTTAAACTCTAATCTCACTTTCGCGAAGTTTGCTGGTGACTCTAGAACAGCTGACAATGTATGTGTGTTGATTAAGAGGAAAAGGTGCTTGGTATTTTTATTGTTGTTACTATCAGGAAATGTACAGCCAAATCCAGGTCCACCTAGCAGTATTAGTCAAATAGCTACTCCTGCTGATTTTATATCTAGATCTGGGCTAGGTTTAATTCATTTAAATGTGCGTAGTCTGTTACCTAAATTAGATTTTGTCCGTATTTGGGCGAGTTCGACTGATGCTGATGTCATTGTCTTATCAGAAACGTGGCTAGATAAATCCATTTACATAAATGGTTACAGTGTATATCGTACTGACCGGCCTAAAAAAGGTGGTGGCGTTGCCATTTATGTGAAAAATAAGTTTTGTGTAACTAATATGGTTTCCAAATCTGTTAGTAAACAGCTAGAATTTTTAGCCGTGAATATTGAGGTAACAAAGGGTCAACAGGTCATGGTGGTGGGCTGCTACAGGGCCCCCTCGGCTGTCAAGGACTCTTTATCGTCATTGACAAAACTGTTATCACAACTTTCCTACAAGGAAATAGTGCTGCTTGGTGATTTTAATTGGGACTGGTTAACTTCTGTGTCAGAGGATTTTAAAAACCTTTGTACCTCTTTGAATTTTACCCAGATTATAGACAGTCCTACTCGCCCAAATATTAAGTCCCCAAATAAATCCTCCTTAATTGATCTAATTTTAACAAATGTTCCACATAAATACTCATCTGTGGGAGTATTTGCTAATGATGTGAGTGACCACTGTGTTGTAGCCACAATTAGGGACACTAAGGTCCAAAAGGTTAAACCACGTATCATCACAAAGAGAGACAAAAAACACTTTGTGGAGCAGGGTTTTGTGCATGATCTGTTTGATTTTGATTGGGGTAAAATCAATCTGTGTGCTGATGTAGAAACTGCATGGTCTTATTTTTATCTTGGTTTTATGAAAATTATAGATAGACATGCACCTCTGCGTACATTTAGAGTGAAGGGACGAAACAATCCCTGGTTTTCTGCTGAGCTGTCCAGTCTACTTCATGAGAGAAATAATGCTTGGGCTAAGGCTAGGCAATCAGGCTCAGAGGTAGAATGGCTACGTTTTAGGCAGCTAAGAAATAGCTTCACATCTCAAATAAAAAGTGCTAAATCAAAGTACTATTTGTCAGTTACCACAGAAAACCTGAATAATCCTAGGAAATTTTGGAAAGCCATAAATTCGATTTCCACTGGTGATATCCCAAATGAGCTACCTCCGTGCCTTACCACAGCATCTGGCAATATATCAGACAGGGCTACTATGCTCAATTGCTTTAATAAGCATTTTGTGTCTTGTGGCTCTCTGTTTGATTCTGTCACTGACTGTGTGTCCAATCCTTGACTCTGAACAATGTGGTCTGGAAAACCCTTTCAGTTTTACTCCTTTAACTATTGGTATTGTTCATGAAGCATTATCCAAGTTAGATCCTAGGAAACCGGCTGGCCCGGATAACTTAGAACCTTTCTTTTTAAAGTTAGCTGCAGATTTTATTGCTCTTCCTTTTACTACTCTTTTTAACCTCTCCCTCAGCACAAATGCAATTCCAAAAGTATGGAAGTCTGCTTATGTCTTGCCTTTACTAAAAGGAGGGGAGGCAACTATTTTAAATAACTATAGGCCAATCTCTAAATTGTCAGTTCTGGCGAAGGTGCTCGAACGACTTGTGAGTGAACAAGTAAAGGAGTTTTTATGTATAAATGATATCCTGTCTAGACATCAGTCAGGATTCAGAAAACAACATAGCACCATCACTGCCACAATGAAAGTGGTGAATGACATTACTAGTATTTTGGATAATAAGCAGAGTTGTGCAGCTCTGTTTATTGACCTTTCCAAAGCATTTGATACCGTCGATCATCACATTTTAAAGCAGAGGCTACTCAGTATCGGCATATCCAGCCATGCAGTGGGGTGGTTTGTGAACTACCTCTCTGAAAGGCCCCAATGTGTTCACTTTGATGGGCTGTCTTCTGAGTGGTTAAACATTGCTAATGGTGTTCCTCAAGGTTCTGTTTTAGGTCCACTTTTATTCTCCATATATATCAACAGTTTAGGTGAAAATGTGGATGAAGCTACTTTACATTTTTATGCGGACGATACCGTGATGTACTGTGCAGGTCCCTCCATTAAGGAGGCTGGTGTTAAATTACAGGCTGTTTTTAACATTATTCAGACTCAGCTCGCTGAGCTTAAGCTTCTTTTAAATGTTGATAAAACCAAGGTAATGCTCTTTTCTAAAGCTAAAAAGACACCAGAGCCTGTTTTAGATATTGTTACAAGGACAAGTACTTGAAGTGGTTACCTGTTATAAATACCTAGGTATCTGGCTTGATGATTGTCTTACTTTTAAACTTCATGTCAATAACCTGCTTAAAAAGCTGAGGGTTAGACTAGGTTTCTTTTTCAGAAACAAGTCCTGTTTCTCATTTGAAGCCAGGAAAAGGCTAGTCACTGTGACCTTTTTACCTGTGCTGGACTATGGTGATTTGATCTATATGAATGCACCTGCCTATTGCCTGGAAAAATTAGATGCCGCCTATCACAGCGCAGAGATTTGTTACTAACTGTAAAGCACTTACTCATCACTGTACCCTGTATGCCAAGGCAGGTCTGCCTTCACTAACTGTACGGAGGCTCAGTCATTGGTACATGTTCATTTACAAAGCCATGTTGGGTAAACCACCTTTTTATATCTGCTCTCTGATCTCTCGACAAATTGAAAGTACATATTGCCTGAGATCTCATGATGTTGTTTTATTAAATGTGCCAAGTGCTAGGACTGTCTTAGCGAAGAAAGCTTTTAGTTGTGCAGCTCCACTACATTGGAACAGTCTGCAAACATGTTTAAAACTGAGCACTTTGGTTCCCCTGCATCATTTTAAAACTCAGCTGGGTGACATGCTGTTTGATACTCATGGTACCTGTCTCTGTAAATAGAGTTTGTAAACTGTACCCTGCACATTATGTTGTTTGTCATCCTTATTGTTGTTCTGTTGTTTTTATGTTACATGTGTAACTAATGTCCTGCAGGTCACCCTTGAAAAAGAAATCTTTTGATCTCAAGGAGCTTCACCTGGTTAAATAAAGGCTACAAACAAACAAACATCCTCTTATGTTTAGCCACTGCCTGTTGGTGTGTTAGATACAGCACTCAACTCGTTGAGCAGTTTTCTGTGTGCTCCTGATAAAACTACGTTTTCAAGATTTGGAAACTTTGGTGCATTAAAAATTGAGCTGGAGGAATTTGGATAAATGTATTAAACCCATATGGTGAGCTAAAAACATTTCAGTTGTATTAAACTCACTTAGAACTGATGGATTTCATTCATTTTTAATTTGACTTAGCGCGAAGAGCTAAGCTGTATGGTTAGTTTATAAAACACAGATATCCAGGCCGTTTCTCAATCTCGAGGATACTGGCCTCCAAGCCAATATTTCAAGGATGCTACGTCATCGAGTGCCGCCGAAGTACTATTCCAATCTCCAGCATACTTGGAATTCCACTGAGGCCGCGTCCTTGGTTTGGGGGACATTTCGAGGCTGCACATGGGTAGACTTCGCGTCCTTAAAATCCCCACAATGCTTTGCGCACGGACCAATTAAAAAAACCCTTGCGGAGAATGGCTGAACCGACGCAGCACACATTTAAATGTAAGTATGTAGTGGCGTAGAACATGTGTTGGTAAATATGTTACTTTGTTACATTTGTTTGTTATCACCAAAAATGTGTTCCGTGAAAGTAAAGCAAGTTCATAATTAGATAGACATCGTGAAGTATTTATTTTCGGTACAGTTTATGTTGAAACCGTTAGAGAGAACACACTTGTTAGCATGTTCCATTCTTCTTCGTTTTCCAAAGCCGTGGCTTGGAAGTATACTTGCTTTGTTTCTGAAGGAAGTGACTTGGAAGTACGTGACTACCAAGCCAGCATCCTCGCGATTGAGAAACGGCCCCAGTCTCAAGTCACAATATTAATTATAAGTGTATTATCATCAGCATATGTTTATATTGGCAATCTAAATTGTTTTAACCAAAGTACATAAATAAGTAAAAATACTGCATTTGTCATTTTAATAGGCAAGCAGCATGAATAGATCAATAATCAACTTGGATCATCTCTTACATTGGCTAATTTACTCGGTAGTCAAATATGTAATCAGTGTTTGAACACCTCAGAGCCAAACACTTCCATTGTAAATCATTGAAAATCAATAAAGAGTACTTCCACCCTCAAAATAAACAGATCAGCAATAACACAAGGCCAGCAAAATGATAAACGGTGAAGAAATCTACTGAGCTTACCTAACGTGTTGATCATGCAGATTCCACACACGTCAAGTTTGAGGAGGGTGTGGTAGACGGGCTCCCCCCCCTCGTGGTTCATGAAGAGGTGGTAGAGCACAGAGCCCAGCTGGGGCGACAGGCAGGCCAGGAAGTGCACCACACCCAGCCACGTGACACTGATCTGAGACCAGGGGATGTTGAGCGGCAGCAGCACCAGGAAGCACACCAAAGGGATGCCTGGAGAAACAGAGAAAGCACAGGTTGTTAGAGGAAGTTTACTGAAGTAAAAGATGAAGCCAATGTGTAGCTCCCGTCAGGGCTGCACACAAAACAAACATGAAACACTTTTAAAAGGGAGATGCTGCACTCAGTCATGTTTTTAATTAATCTAGAGATCTTCAGTACATTTTTCACACTAAAATGTGTGAAACACAACATTTTGAAGGATTATTTACTGTTAGAAGTGTTTCTTGTGCCTGTGGTAATGTGCACCTGGTCCGAAAGCCATCAGCTCAAAAACAAAAAAAGAACACTAACTTTGATAAATCCAATAAAGTGTCATGTTTATTTTTGATGGATTATCTAGCTCAGGACTTTCGAGGCCTGTGCATGTTATTTTTCATACAGTGCTGAGTGTGTGCAGACACCAGCAAGAATAATTTGCAAGAGAGCAGAAATCTACATGACGAGCACAAACGTATCATTGTCACCTTGTGAGCGGAAAACAAAGCCACGGCTAACTATTTTTTTTTTATTCAGCTAAGAGACATATTTAGAATGGCCTCGTAGCTTTAATGTATGTTTCCCTTTTGGGCAAGGGAGATGTGTTCACTGCTATGTTAGCAGAAATACAGACCTTGACATTTGATACACATACAGTTGTTAGGATCATTTATCACTCTACAGCCACACATACTGCACTCCATTCCTTTTTTTTGCTCGCTCTGCTGTTCCCAATGTCAAGGCATTTGTCCCGGCCAGGTGATACTGGCATTGCGTTCTACTGTAACACATCTATTTTAAGTGTGTTATCTGTGCTCCTCCCCCCACTCGTCCTGAGCCGACCGGCCAAGCTGAATCCCATTCAGGGTTAAATACAGTAGAGAGTACCTCCTATGAAGCCATGAACGCAGTGAAGAGTCTGCGAGCTGAGCTGCGGGCAGGATGTTTTTAGTTTATATGCAAAAGAGTCAACAAGAACCAGCTCGTGAAACTTATATAAAATGTTACAACACAATAAAAGACTCATGAATTGCATGCAAAGCTCTGAATCTTTTCTACTTAGTTCAGAAAACTGGGCAAAAGCTTGTTGCCCTAAACATCACTGCCTTATATAGGCAATAGTGTTAAGGGTGTCTGCAGGCCACATGCTCAGCTGACGTAACAGGAGTGTTATAAGATTGCACAGGGCCACTTCCCTGATGATCACTTCTGCAGTTTATTCTGTGACGGCTGGCAGTTAGAAGTGAAGCAATTACCTTCACAATGAGGAAGTTGTCAGACTCGCAGGAGTCTCTGTGAACACACTGATGATGTACTACACCTTCCTACAGCTGTAGGATGTTTGTTATTGGTATTATTTCTAAATACAGTCAATGGTATTAAGAGGTCCTGCTACTGTGGGGCATGCTATTGGCAGTGAAATCAGCCTGAAAACAAGCCGACACATCAGTCTCACCACTGGCTACACAGATTAACATATTACTACAATTAATCAAGCCTATCAACAGATTGACATTGTTGTGTAACCATGACATTTTTACCACATGGAAATGCCACTCAGAAAAGAAATGTAAGGCAAACTTCTGCCTGTAAGCAAAGAACACACACAGCTTTTTTAACTTTTTGAGTGCCTGAGGAAAAGTGGTGAAAAGGGTACTCGTATCTTTAGGGTTAGGGTTAGGTACTGGTAAAAGTTCTGAATTCAAGATGATATTGTAGAGATGTACTTAAAAAAAGACCTCTCTTTTACTCTTTTAAGGTAGCTGGTTGGGCTCAAGACAATTTTTACCAGATGATAGAGCTGGAACTAATTTTTAATCAAGAGAAAGAAAAAGTAAACTGGAACTATTATGATAATCCCTAATAGTTTCTGTCGTTTTCAAGTTATATCAAGAGGATTTGCTACTTTTTGTACCTATAGGTTTTGGATTGTTGCTAGGACACAAGACATTTAAAGACATAACCTTAAAGGTGGGGTAGGTCATTTTGGAGAAACCAGCTCGAGTGGGCTAGAATTTGAAAATACACAGCCGGAACAAATCTGCCACTTCCTTACAGAGCCCCTCTAATGACCAATGAGGCAGGTAGGCCATCCAGTTATTTTAGCCGGGCTAAAATGATTGGTCGTGCTTTTTACAGTACTACGGCTTCCACAGATGACATTTTTGTATGGATTTGTTGTCAAAGCACTTAAGATATTCATTGCTATCGGGATGTTAAGAGCATTCCATGGAATATAACAAAAAGTGTATCTCGAGCTGGTTTCTCAAACTTACCTACCCCACCTTTAAGCATGAAAGGTTTTCACCATTAGTGTATGTTTCAAAGTCTATAGACAACACTGATTAATCCAATAATATGCCAAAAACAGTCCTTATGTTACAGACAAAAGTTTGTTATATTAACCTGACATTATATTCCAGTTGTTATGTTTATATCCACTTGTTTTGTAGAGCACACTGTGATGCAATTGTTGGTGCTGTACAAATAAATACCATTGTTCAAATATGAATATGAATAACTTAAATGCACATGGTCAAAAATGAAGGGGTTATGTCATGTATGCCTTTATGAACACAAATGGCCCATGCATTAGTGCAGAGTCTGGCTGGCATCCTTCCGCAGGAACAGTACTGCTGTGGGTTAATACCTATGGTTAATACTCAAAGTCACACAGAAATCTCACCTGCTGACTAAGCAGTTCATGCTGAATTGTTGTACTCACCGTGAGTGTATATGTTCCCAAGTTCATTGTGCAGGTAGAACAGGCTTCTGATGCAGTCTTGCACAGAGGAGCTTGGCCGGTATCCCGTTAGGACGTATTTGTTGAACTGAAGATGAGGGGGTGAACTCGCCCAGTCCAGCAGCCTGGGTCCATTCAAATATGCCATAGCAAACAACCCCGTCAAAAGGACCCCGCCGAAAAAGTAAAAAACAGACTGTACACCTATATACACATTTAATAGGATTATTGCGACTAAAACCTTATGGGATACCATTGGTGTTGTTTAGGGGTTCTAGCTTGTGCTGTAAGCCTCCTAGCTTTGGCGCTAGTCTCTCAACACGGTGTTATCAGCGCCGCCGCTGTTCGCTCTGAAACGCCGGTACCTGTGTGAGTGTCATCCGCGAGGCTGGAGACAGACACGGCCAGCCACGTACATGGTGCGAGCTCGGGACGGTCATTACATTTGGCATCTAAAAAATGTCTGTGAAGCACCTAAAAGCTTGCAGCGGTTGAGAGGCAAATTGTTCCTCGTCATGTTAAAGCCACTTCCTCGTTAGTTAGCATTCCGGCGAAGAAGCAGCAGGACGGGTTTGAACGCCTCCCCGGCGGCAGGGATGCTGTGAGAGGTCCATCCAACTCCAGAGGATGCTAGCTCCTAGCGGTCAGATCTGCAGTAGAGGACTAGCAGGTCATAGCTTTAGTGTTATGAGAGCAACCCGGAGACAGATGCTCGGGTCGGTTCCGTTTAATGCTGAGTAGCTTTCGTAAAGCGTTATAAGAAGAAAAAACTGATGAGATCCGTGATTCTGGAGCAGAGATTTTGGGAAGGTCTGCGGGCTAGCAAGCCGGGCAAGTCGGCTACAGATGTCCAGTGACTGGGGATGAGGAAGCAGAAATTTGAGCCGGGTGATTTAAAAAACAAAGCTTACATTGACTTTCTTCAAAATCTGTTTCACACATTATTTCCCAACATTATTTGAGGCTGGCTGTATTCCTTGAAATGCGGAATCTTCCCTGGCGGCCTTTAAATCCCCTGCATTGCCTTTACACAACTGTCAAGCTAGAGATAACAACAACAACGACACTTCCGCTCACTGATTTCAAAATAAAACGGGCCACAATATTTAGCGTAATCCTCACATTAGAGAAAACTGCTCACTCTGTAATTTTATGAACGAAACGCTAGAACATTTGTTTATTTACTGTGTACATTTGGATCTCTTTTTGATTGGATCTTAAAACTAATTTTGGTAAGGAAATCTTACTAAAGGAATCCGATTTGATTCATATTCAACAGTCCCAATTTCTCCAGCAACAATAGATGTTACTGAACATTATTGCCCATCTATTTGTCCACTCCTTGCCCTGTCAGCTCACGTGATATTATACCGTCACTCACTTTACTTGGACTACTTGCCCCTTACTACATAAATATCCTTATTGTAGGCCTACCTGTTTTTTTTTATCTTTCTGTCCGCAGCAGGCAAATATAAATATGTTCCTCTACATAATTTCCTTGACTTTATAAAGATGGATGACAATTAAGTCTATCTTATGTAACTATCATGTGTTCATTGTTGTGTATGGCAGTTTATATGACCAAATAGCCTATGTAAAAATGCTCATTTTAATTAATTTCTTATTTCATAGTTTTATTTGTATCTTTAATTGTATTAACCTGTGTGAATCTGTGCTGTCCTGTTTTTCATCCTTACCCTGTTGCTGTTTGAACTACTGAATCTCCCCACGGGGATTAAAAAAGGTCCATCTCATCTTATCTTGTTGGGATAAAACTATTCCTAGGTTTTCTTAGTGTCAATTTGATTAAATACAACTCCATTAAAGAATATGCACTATGCAAGATCTAAAAATCGAACATTTTAAATGCAGAGAGATGCTAAACCTCTGCAGTGCAAGAGTCATCTTAACTGTTGGTGCATATTCTCTAACACATTTGCACTTAACCAAATTACCCAAGCCAACAGGCCAACAGTGACCGAGTAGTTTTCCTGGAACTCCAAACAAAATGCCCTCTATGCCCACTTTGTAATCCATCATTTTTCTTAATAAAACACACATTGTTTATAATCAGAATATTTGAATAAAGATCACATTTTATTTTGAAGGCGAACAGTTTTCACCTCTGGTCTTATTCTGTTTCACTGGGACCGCTTTCATGCTGCTCGGCGGCACTGGCAGCAAATGCCGACACTGACTGAACAGCTGCCTTCAATACAGACGGAAATAGTGCAGTTAGCAAAAAATCTCACATTGTAAACAGAAATAGCGTAGTTGTAGTTTCTTAGTTATAACTAGATACATATAATTGAATTAAAGCAAAATGTGTTCTTTCTTTAGAATACTTTGGAGAAAGAATAAGACCAGCCCTTCAATCGTGTGTCCAAAGGTCAAGACCAACTTGATTTATACAAGACATAACAAATACAATTTACGATTATAGAATAGACCTATTCTATAATCGTAAATTGTGATAAATTGTATCTATACCATAGATTGTAATCATGACGAGAAACGCTTTTGCAGCTGCAGTACATGAGTTACTATCCAGATGACACTTTGAGTCCAGAGCTCAAATCTCTGTGCTTGATTTATTTGAATTTCAAAAATAATAAAGTACTTTCATAATAGGCTTAATTTTTATTATTGAGTGTTTTTGTGTGTCTTTTAACAATAAAAACGTTTACAACATAGGGTGTGTGTGTGTGTGTGTGTGTGTGTGTGTGTGTGTGTGTGTGTGTGTGTGTGTGTGTGTGTGTGTGTGTGTGTGTGTGTGTGTGTGTGTGTTTCCAATAATACTGCACAAAACCTACTCATGCACTTGGATTTAGACTTTCCCGAGGTTCACTTGAAGGCAGCAGGTGACGTGCAGTAATCCTCTAATAGGAGAGAAGTGAGGATCTGCGGATGAATCACACCACCTCCACCTCTCACCCATCGGCTGCCTGGACCTTTCGCCATGTAGCAGCCCACAGCCACACCTCTGTGGGGCTGTGACGAACTAGCCCCCCCTCCCTCACTCTGGACCAACCAAATGTCACTTGTTTATCATATTCATGTATGTAGTTCACATTAAAGTATCCAAAACCACAGAATGTCGGGGAGGGAAGTGGAGAATATAACGTTAATGTTGAAATTGATGCTTTTTTGTATTGATTACTTTGTGTTGCCTTGATCTGTAATATGTAGCATAACCTCTTTTATAAATGCTCTTACAACACATTTTTATACTGTCCATAATTTACTTAATATAAATCTAATGTATTCATAATGTATATGTCTGGCTTGATTTGACTGATTTGTTATATGTATATATATAAATAACATTTGTATAATTTAATTTGGTTAGACAAGGGTTTATTTTAATTGTACATAAATATTATTTTCAGTGTCAATATTTGTAGCTGAAAGGTCAAATTGTTCTCAACCTGGCTCACTAACATTTTAACTTAGGCCATCATATACAATTTTAAAAAACAAATGTTGTTTCGGAAAGTATTGAGAAATCTATAGTGTCAGGCTTCTCTTCTCACCTAGATGACCACATACCACTAAAACTTGAAATAATTTCAGGTTCACATATAGATAAAAAAAAGTGTGATATCACTTCATTTCAACCGCCTTTATTGTCTCTAAGACCACTGTCACCTCACTCCCTCATCGCGTCCTGCCCTTCACCTTCATCTATAAAAACACGTTTTGAAAGAGATACACAGTCAGATTCAAGCATTGAATGTGGGACGTGCAAGGACAAAAGGTTAGTGACCGGTAAGCTGATTTGCTCTTTTTGCTTTGGACAGTATGAGTAAAAGAAAATTGTCCGACCATCCTAAATATTGCTTTTCAAACAAAGTGGGAATGCATTTGGATAGACAGGAGCAATATTTCTGGAGAAAGATGCCACTAAAATAAATAGAAATAGTGTTAATGTAATTAGGTTATTTAGCATCTGCTAAAATATGTTCGTTGCTACTTCAATGTGGAATTCATCAGCATCAATTGCTCATGAATTATATTTCTTTTCCAGGAGATCAGCTTGTTTTCATCACCTAACTAAACAGAAACATGTTTCTGTTACATATTTGCATCTATGCCAGCCTCATGCTGTCCCTCCCTCAGTGTACATATCAATCCTGCACAGAGGGGACACCCAGACAGTGTCGAGATGCAGAATTTGCTCCAGGTACCAATTTGGCCGGCGAAGGCTTTGATATCACCAACATGGAACGTAAGGGAGCCTTTGTGCTCGACATGAATCAGTGGAAACGCAAGGACAAAACATGCACCCTGTGCAGCAACCCCTACCTGGAGAACAAAAAGCAAAAGCTCCCCTTGTCAGTCATGGACTGGATAGCAAAGCAGTCCTGCAGCATGAAAGTGTCTAGCACGCTCCACAGATCCAGTGAGTCTCTGGTCAGTTCCAGCTCCTCTTCTGTGGAAAACAACTGGAAGATCAATCTTGATGTTGATGTGGGTGACAAGAGCGGCTCATTGATGCTAGCTGGTACTCATTCCAAATTGGCTGAATACTCCATGGAAAAAACTAAGAATGACAAGTTTAGCTTCACAAGCCAAAGCATGTCCTGTGAGTACTACAGGTAAGAACACAAGGACTGGGATGAAACTTTATCCACACAATCCCCTTCATGCAAATAGAAATGTTATGAACAATGGCATAAATACTGAACTGTTGTTTGTCTGTTTCAAATCCTTTTTTTTCTGGTCTCACTATAAACAGCTACAGAGTGTCCAGCACCCCCAAGTTGCACAGAGAATTTAAGAAAGCAGTGAACCAGCTTCCCAAAGTCTACAGTCCAGAAAACAAGCAACGATTTTACAAACTGTTTGACACCTTCGGCACCCATTACGTCACCAAGGTAAGGAAAAAATAATGGCAGGATTGGAATAAAACAAAATCAATCTTCTCAAATTCAAGCAGTACTGAAGATTATAGAGAGGAACAATTTGCTTATTCGGGATGTGTTCCACATATATAATATGTATATATATTATATATGTATATATATTATATACTGTATTTCCAGGTGAAGTTGGGAGGAAGTGTTCAGTCTGTGACGAGCATCAGGCAGTGCCAGGCCAGCCTGCAGGGCATCAGTGTGGAGGAGGTTCAGATGTGCCTGGAAGCTGAGGCGTCTGCCAGCATCAAAGTAATTACAATCAAAACAGAATCAAAACACTGCCAGAAGGACATTGAGAAGACAGAGAGCAAGTCGTCCTTCTACGGCCACTTCAACGACAGGTAATCACCATTTGTCTAATGTTTTGCATACATGCACTTATAAAATGTAAAATACCAAACTGTGGTTGAAATGAATTTCCACAAAGAAAACATTTCAAATTTTAAAATCACCACCCACTCTCCTCCACAGGTTCACAGAAATAAAGGGGGGCCATACCACAGAGCCAGACCTTCTTTTCTCTGCTGACAAAAATCCATCCGCCTACAAAGAATGGCTGAATTCACTACCGCATAACCCAGACATTGTCTCAAATTCCCTGAGCCCGCTTCATGAGTTACTTCCTACTAACACTCCTCTCTGGAAGAACCTGCGTTTAGCCATTAGCCATTACATCCTGGAGAAAGCCCTGTGGAAGAACTGCAGTGAGCACTGTCAAGCCGGCATCAAGAGCGACCAGAGAGATTCCTGCGTGTGCCAATGCCACAACGAACTCGCTGTAAACCAAGACTGCTGCCCGACCCGTAAGGGCATGGCACGGGTCATCATAACTGTACAACGGGGTGCAGGACTGTGGGGAGACCACAGCACAGCCACAGATGGCTATGTGAAGGTGTTTTTCAATGGGCAGATGAAGCGTACCCATGTCATCAACAATAACAACTACCCACACTGGGCCACTGTCATTGACCTGGGCACTCAGGATGTGTCCTCAGGGCATCAAGTAAAATTTGAAGTGTGGGATCAGGACAACAACTGGGACGACGACCTGCTGGGACAATGTGGGAAAGCTTTGTCTGCTGGAGTCAAGCAGGATCTCTGTAACCTGCAACATGGCCAGCTTTTCTACAAGCTGGACGTGAAATGCACTCCCAGTCTGAGTGGAGCTCTATGCAAGGACTATAAAGCCTCTCCTATGAGTCAAAGTCTGAAGGAGCTGTACGTGTCCCGTCATGCACATCCAGTTCCAAAAGCTATTCTGTTAGAGATGGGTGTGTTTGTGGATGAACCAAGCCCACTGAGCAACCAGAGTCTTACTGCAAAGACTCAGAAGTATGATTTAAAGTAACAACTGCGCTAGGCTTTACTGATGCTTATATTGAAGGAATTAGCAAAATTACTTTTATTGTATCAATACGGTTAACCAAAGCAAAACACATCATCCATATCTGTCCTCACAAAGCTATTCTGATTTAGTTTTAACCTTTTTTTTAACTATTAAGGTCATCTTTTTTTTAAAGAAACTTGTGTTTGACAAAATACTGTTGTTTTAAAGTCTAGAAAGACAAAATAGAAGTTTCAATATTTTCATTTACCTTCATATTTGCATCATGTAATGCTCATTATACTATATTCACTGGGCTAGTCTTTCACAGTTCAGCAAATCATATTTGAGTGATTTAAATTGTATTCTTGCCGCTTCTACTTAGCTAATTTTTTCTTATGTTTTATCAATGCAATTTCCCTTTTCTTATTATATACATGCATTTATTAAAGGTACTAGTTTATTGACATTTGCGTCATATTTTTGCTAATTTGACTTGACATTAGAGAAGTGAGGAATAGAACGTTAAGCCTTTGCTTTCGATCACACATGTATTGCCATCATAAATTGTTTTGCTATATTTTATAGTCAATTACTGTACTGCTTTTCTTAGACTCATACATGTATACGATTTTAATGATTGTTTACTTGTTCTGTTATCTGTAATGTAATCCAATTTTTGCTGTTAATTTTTAACATGTCACGTTTTTAAAATGTTGGTATACTTAAATAAATGACTTTTATCATGCTAAAAGTACTTATTTCTGATCATATGGCTGTAGGTGGTTTGTGAATATTAATTAATATGAATTTTCTTTGCTGAAACAATATCACTTCCTATTACAGGGCTATCTAAGAATCTTATACAAAACGGTACCAGACTTTCTTTGCTTTGTGTATGTCATAAACTTAAAAAGTGTATAATGTTGTGGAAATCCAAAAACCACAATACTGTAGAGAGTATAAGTCAAAGTGATCAAAAACAAATAAATGGTGAATCAGACAGAGTTGTCTTTCTGGTGATTTTATTTGAAGCTTCAAATAACATGGTACATAAAATATAGGAAAGGCACAGGTCCCACAGAGTGTATGAATAGTCTGCGCGAGTGTGCGCAGTTCAATATAGTAGCAAGGCTTATATACAAGAAATGGTGAGAAGGTAAGAAATCTGTCTTCACACGGTCACATTGTTATTAGACACATGTCCTTGTCCTGAGCTGTATTCTCAGGAAAGGCAAGTTCTCGTGTGACTATGTGTGAGTCTCAACATAATAGCAGCTGTGGCCTTGAAGTAGAGTAGATAGAGCATCTAACCAAATGAGAAGCATTTGGTTACTTTGAACATATAAGGATATAATAAAAATGTCCACTACAATAATTAGAGTTCTCTGAGAAGGGCCACAGCCCACCACCACTTCAGAGAAGTTAAGGTTTGTGGTCTCTGGTCCGTTATTGACTGGAAAGCCAGCTTTAGTTTGATGTTGTCACTATCAGTTTGAGTCTGTCTGTAGACCACCAGCTCCTCCCTCTCAGCATCGGGGCTGCTCAACATCCAGTAAACTTTGAAACAACTTTTTCCCCCACCTCTCCAAAAGACCCCCACCACCTCCTGCCCTTTTTTTTGTTTAAAGCACAGATAACAATGCTCACAGACAGTTTCACAAGTGCGGCGTGAACAGGCAAGACAAAGGTAAGTCTTATGCGCTCATACTGAAATATTCGTTCACGTTATTTGAATATACACCACCACCACCCTCTGTGGGTTATTTCAGAGTGCGTTGAGTTATTAAGCAGCCGGTAAACTGTACATTGCAAAATCATCGGGTAATTCTATAGTAAAGCATATTCTTGTTACATCTGGGGGGAAACAATGGCAAATGTTTCATCATCATTGGCATTTGACTTCGAATATAGAATATAGAAAATAAAGAGTCATAACATTTGGGAGTTTAATTATATAATAGATGCTTAAGAGATCTTAAAGTAAAGTCAGATTAGGTTTTCATTTTGCAGAATATCTATATGTATATATATATATATATATATATATATATATATATATATATATAAAAGAGCTATGACAGTTTGTCAAATGTTAAGGCAGAATCAAAAGGGACACGTGGCCCTTTTTATGCTGAGGGACATTTGCATCATGCTCTCAATAAGTGGTAAACATATTTTGGCCATCCAGTGCTTGACACCCTTGTGGCAAATGAGAAGATATTTAAATGGTGCCCAACCAAGTTGTTATGTAAACAAACAAAAGTAATCTTTACATTTTGTGTTTTTCACCAAAAACGCAGGTGGTATATCCTTTAGGTTTAACAAAGGGCATTGAATACATTTCTGTTCATATAAAACTTTCACAAAAAATCCATCGGATGTCATGTTTTATATAGGTAAACTTAATGAAAACACAATACAAATAATCCTAAAATAGGGCCTTGAGGAACACCACAAGACGAAGAATCAAAAGTAAGATAAAGAGTTACCACTTGAAGGTGAAACTGATATATTGTACAGATAAAATTCAAACCACAGGCGTGACTGTGAATATGAACTATATGAACAGGATAGCACAAAATCACCAACTTTATCAAAAGCAGCAGAAGTGTCTAACATAATATTTTAGTAGTCTAATTTCCAATGACTAAAGTCATTTGTTTTGTGGAGCAAACTCTACAGATGGAAATTCATCCAAAATGTGTTTTATAATCAACAAAAGGACAGAAACAACTACAAGAAAGTGTTTACCAAATAAATGTGATACTCATATAAAAAATTATGCCTTAAAATTGGCCATAAGTTATAAGTGTCATCAGTTAGGGAAGTTATTTTATTGAAATGTTTATCATGTTTTATGATGTTTTAAGGATGATGGAACAGTTGACTGAAGAGGTGTTTATGAGTATGAGGTTGCTTAAAAAGGTCAAACACACCTTTAAGAAGAAGGGACAAAATGACTTTATGTACAATGACCAAGTAGTAGTGGTGTACTAATTCACTTTTTCAATTGATTAATAAATCATGATTCTTTTCAGGAGAAATCATCGTTAGTTTAACAGAAACATGTTTCTGTTAAATATTTGCATCTATGCCAGCCTCATGCTGTCCCTCCCTCAGTGTACATATCAATCCTGCACAGAGGGGACACCCAGACAGTGTCTAGATGCAGAATTTGCTCCAGGTACCAATTTGGCCGGCGAAGGCTTTGATATCACCAACATGGAACGTAAGGGAGCCTTTGTGCTCGACATGAATCAGTGGAAACGCAAGGACAAAACATGCACCCTGTGCAGCAACCCCTACCTGGAGAACAAAAAGCAAAAGCTCCCCTTGTCAGTCATGGACTGGATAGCAAAGCAGTCCTGCAGCATGAAAGTGTCTAGCACGCTCCACAGATCCAGTGAGTCTCTGGTCAGTTCCAGCTCCTCTTCTGTGGAAAACAACTGGAAGACCAATCTTGATGTTGATGTGGGTGACAAGAGCGGCTCATTGATGCTAGCAGGTACTAATTCCAAATTGGCTGAATACTCCATGGAAAAAACTAAGAATGACAAGTTTAGCTTCACAAGCCAAAGCATGTCCTGTGAGTACTACAGGTAAGAACACAAGGACTGGGATGAAACTTTATCCACACAATGCCCTAGCTAAACAAATTAATGCAATTATTTTGGTCTGTCTTTTTGGCTGTCTCCCTATAAACAGCTACAGGGTGTCCAGCGCTCCCAAGTTGCATAAAGAGTTTCGGAAAGCAGTGAACCAGCTTCCAAAAGTTTACAGTCCAAAATTCAAGCAACGATTTTACAAACTGTTTGACACCTTCGGTACCCATTACGTCACCAAGGTAAGGTATTATTTTTTTTAAAAGACTAAAGAAAAATGTCATACATTTTCTCAAACAGTATGTGTTTAAAAATAAATTTCCAGGTGAAGTTGGGAGGAAGTGTTCAGTCTGTGACGAGCATCAGGCAGTGCCAGGCCAGCCTGCAGGGCATCAGTGTGGAGGAGGTTCAGATGTGCCTGGAAGCTGAGGCGTCTGCCAGCATCAAAGGAAATACACTAAAAACTGAAGCAAAACACTGCCAGAAGGACGCTGACAAGATGGAAAGCAAGTCTTCCTTTTCCGGCCTCTTCAACGACAGGTACTTTCGCATATATTTTTCATGTTTTCCATTTATCGTAGGACTGCAAAAAACAATATTTTTTTCCTTATCAATTAATCCACAGGTTATTTTCTATTGACTTGGTCTATAAAACATCATAAATTGAAAAATCAGAATCAGAATACCTTTAATAGTCCCACAGAGGGGACATTTACGTTGTTACAGCAGAAGAAGAGCCACAGACAGCTTAATATTACATGAGTTACATGCATTAAAAGGTATTAAAGCCTACAAAATGTCTATCCCAGTGAAAACCATTTTATAAATGACTATTTCCAGAACCAGAAAACCCCTGTTGGCTCAGTTTTTTAATCAACTGTCCTCCACAGGTTCACAGAAATAAAGGGGGGCCATACCACAGAGCCAGACCTTCTTTTCTCTGCTGACAAGGATCCATCCGCCTACAAAGAATGGCTGAATTCACTACCGCATAACCCAGACATTGTCTCAAATTCCCTGAGCCCGCTTCATGAGTTACTTCCTACTAACACTCCTCTCCGGAAGAACCTGCGTTTAGCCATTAGCCATTACATCCTGGAGAAAGCCCTGTGGAAGAACTGCAGTGAGCACTGTCAAGCCGGCATCAAGAGCGACCAGAGAGATTCCTGCGTGTGCCAATGCCACAACGAACTCGCTGTAAACCAAGACTGCTGCCCGACCCGTAAGGGCATGGCACGGGTCATCATAACTGTACAACGGGGTGCAGGACTGTGGGGAGACCACAGCACAGCCACAGACGGCTATGTGAAGGTGTTTTTCAATGGGCAGATGAAGCGTACCCATGTCATCTACAATAACAACTACCCACACTGGGCCACTGTCATTGACCTGGGCACTCAGGATGTGTCCTCAGGGCATCAAGTAAAATTTGAAGTGTGGGATCAGGACAACAACTGGGACGACGACCTGCTGGGACAATGTGGGAAAGCTTTGTCTGCTGGAGTCAAGCAGGATCTCTGTAACCTGCAACATGGCCAGCTTTTCTACAAGCTGGACGTGAAATGCGCTCCCAGTCTGAGTGGAGCTCTATGCAAGGACTATAAAGCCTCTCCTATGAGTCAAAGTCTGAAGGAGCTGTACGTGTCCCGTCATGCACATCCAGTTCCAAAAGCTATTCTGTTAGAGATGGGTGTGTTTGTGGATGAACCAAGCCCACTGAGCAACCAGAGTCTTACTGCAAAGACTCAGAAGTTTGATGTGAAATAACTGCGTTGTCTTTTTGTTTTTCGCGCTTACATAGCAACATTACTCTTCCTATTATGTACATGGATGATACATTAAGCAAGACCATTAATCATTCACTGACATCCGTGATTAAATATCTAATGATCAGATAGAATGAGATGTCAATGTCTGTTGGGAGCAATTGGTTTATGTGCTTAATAAGCAGCTGCAACTCAATTATGATTTTAAGAAAGCATTTTACAGTTTCTGTAGCACGTGTTAGACAGAATAGTCAACGTACGCTCTCTGAAATCTACATCAGCAGAAGATCCAAAAGGACTGAAATAGATTGCTAAAATGTTTAAAACAGTTATTTTATTGTTTATGCTGTATCTGTGTTTTCGTTCTGTTGACTATGGCTTGAGAACAGCAAAGCATATTTTAAAAGTCCTTGCTCCGGATGCAAACTTTTGAGTTTGAGTCACTGCAGTTTTAACTTATTCATATATTTATTTCTTTTTTTACATACCTTAACATAAAAACGTATAGTGCATTTTTGTAGGTTTTTTAGTATATTTACAAGCAACATTTACTTGTGTGATTTGTGTATTGTAATCATGTCATTATGTTAAGGCTTTTTGTTTATCCATAATAAAAGCATTGCATCTGAACCGTTTGTGGTCATTACTTTTGGTTTTCAATTGAGTGATTGTGTTTCTAAGGTGTTTCTATTGCCTGACATTAGAAAGGATGTGGTAACACTTCCTGTGTACGGATGAGGCTTTTCTGATGCTGTTATATAGAACAATGTGTGAACAATGTGTGAACAATGTTTGTACTCAGATGCTTCTATACAGCAAAATATTACATTTATTGGATTAAAACAGTACATCATTTTATTTTTTTAATTGTAAAACATTGAAGCACATTTCATGTACTTAATACAAATGCTTGTTCATCAATCACCACATATTTTATTCAGTGTTGACAGAATAAGACTGGTGGGTCACTGCATGTTCAGGACCAACAAGACAAACAGGTAACACATTACACTTACAGAAGAAGACAAAGGAGGTTATGAAAAATAAAGCAAAAGACAAAACAGACAACACAACAGGACAGATGAAGAGAAACACACAGAAAGCTTTACAAACACATGTAACTGAAGACATTATGTAAATGGTCCACTTTAAGAAGCGCAGGTTATTTGAATTAGCCTAATTAAAGACAGAGACAAAGAGGTAGGGGGAGGAACATAAAGATATTGAATCAGGAAAAATAGATGAATTTGATTGGTTGATGACCGACACAAGTATGCAAAACATATTATACAGTGGCAATTAACTCATGCACTTCCTCCCTCATAAATGTAAATAACTGACCTTCCCGCACCCGCATCGTAAGCCCTCCAACATTCTCACCTTTGTATACATTTCCAAGGGCAGCGTTCCCTCTGTCATATTTGCCAGCTTGCTCTCCTGCGAAAGGATCAACCCAGTTCAATGTTATAAATGTGTAGAGAAGGAAATGGCCGCAGCAAGAACAGGTTTGGACTTGTATTAGCGTACTCAGCCACACGCTATGCAGGCCAAAGACCTTTGAGTGGGAAATAATATATAATGCATGCAGTTGTACCTTTGGTGTGACAGCAATTTAGGTAAAAGCTTATGTGCATAAAGTATAGAGTATAAAGTATAGAGTTCATTTTCCATAGCCTCACTTCTGTTTGTTTCAGACAGGAAAAGAGCACACATATTTCGACACATGCAAGACCGCACACTAGTTAGTTATGAACAAGGCCGGATTAACCATATGGGCAACCTGGGCAAGTGCCCAGGGGCCCTTGAGCAAAGAGGGCCCTCAGTGACAAGATGAAAAAAATTATTATTTTAATTATAATTTTTTTTCGGGCACAACCTCACTCATCATACATTGTTTTAAATTACACTCACTCTTCGCCATAAATAACACAGCTTTTCTATAGGGTCAAATTAATATATTTTCTAAACCGTCTCTGTACTGTAGGTCTCACTCAAGCCCCCAGGAAGTGCGCCGGACTCTGATGAGAATATTCGTTGTGGCCAAACGGCAGTACTACACCTCCGTTAGGTTGCTGGGCCCGGAAACACTTTTCCCCATTGATTTACATTGGGAAAGAGTGGTCTGTAAATCGTTGGATAATTTTTTTTAAACTACCCAGTATGAACGTTTGTATAGCCCTTATTAAAAACATTCGGTCCTCAAGTTGTAAAATGTGCTAATAACATTATTCTGAGAGTTATTTTCCTCAGCATTATGAACACGCATCTAACCCACGGGACCGCGCTGCCCGGCACGTTCGTAACTAATAAAATTCCTTGTGTACTTGTACAGCCAGCCAGTCATATTTTGGCATTAAGTGGGGTGCTGCTCTGAGGTTTTGAGTGATATTACCTAGGTATTCCTGAGCCATACACTGTCTTGGGATCTTATCCATTGTATCTTTGTCTTGTGATTTTTTACTAAAAGGGCAAAAGGCTAGACCTACTTTGGTTGAACTATGTGGCTGAGTCCCTGCTTTTGACAAATGGGTGTGCGATTTGACATGCCAGATTGACTGACAATTCTAAATATTGGTCATGTTGGTATGATTGGGTAGGCGTGGTGTTACTTGTTGGTACGTGGGTTGGGGGGGGGGGGGGGGGGCATGAGAGCTCAGTGCCCAGGGGCCCCTGGAGGTACTAATCCGGCCTTGGTTATGAAAGCTAATTTGTAGCACTGCAAATTGTGCAGTACACTGTAATAGTGCAAGAAGACTTGACTAATAAGGTCTCCAGAAACAGCAAAGTGAGAGGAAGTTAATTAGATCATTAATGAGGAAGTCTGAGGGGTTCTTGCTTACCCAAGACATCTTGAGTTGCTCCTAGCTGTGCACCAAATCCTTAACAAACACAATCAAACACATTTTACATTTAATACAGAAATGATACACAAAATGATCTTTTGTTATGATATTTGGACTTTGGGAATAGCTGGATAATGTGTGCAGCTAAAGTGTGTTCTTAAAAATTGTAATCTCAATTATGCAAGACATACCGATACTAAAATACTTATTACTGCCATGCTCATGTGGCCTCATCTGTGAAGTGCAATCTTATGTTCTAGTAGTCGGACAAAAGACATACAGTAGGGCCTTGGGAATTGTGTCAACGGTGTGCATGTGTTTCTCTGGGTGAGAGAGTGCAATCAAAGTCACCTGTTTGCTGAGGTCCATATCCTGCAGCAGCTCCTAAAACAACACAAAATATGAAGAAACTTGAAATCCATTACAAGGTACATTGTTTAAACATTTTATACATAAATTACATTTTCATATATTGTTTTGTTTCGTAATTAATAAGCAATGTTATCCATTTGCTCTATTATCAGCTTTACTGGGATTGAAACCTGACTGGGACATATCTGGTTAAATACAAATTAACCAACAGCACGCTACTTTAGAGAAAAAAAGCCAAACAATTTACCATCAGACCGTTTCTCACAGTTTGTAGCTCTCTCATACACACACTAACACCCGCTCACTCCTTCTCACCATATTTGTTGGCAGTTTTAGCACCTTCAGCACCGAGGTTGAGCTGCTGAGCAGGATACGGGTAGCCACCGTCACCTGAGGGGGGGCAATGTTATACGTCAAGTATTCAACTGTTCTGCTAGCATGTTTAGGTAAACTGACAGGATGGGTGAGGGCCTAGATGTTGATTTTACTTTTGTTATTGTCTAACTTAAGTGCGATACTTGAGTAAATGTACTTTGTTACATTTCAACAACTGTTCAGGACTAACATACCTAATGTCAGAATGCTGCTAGTCACCCAGGTTTGATTTTATTACAAATTAAGATTAGTTTATCAGCATCAAGCCCCTCTAATATCGTTGACACAGTTTTTCACTGGCCCTGCCTCATGGTGTATTTTGTGGGCAAGTTTATTTATATTGCCCATTTCACCAAAAGGCAAATCAAAGTGCGTCCAGACAGTTTGTACAGCTATTTAAGGTGCTTAATATAGTGACAGGGGTAAATGTGGTCTTACAAATCTCGGGCTAACGTTACTTGCAAGGGCGATGAAAGCGGTGTCCATTACTTTTGTAAATCCAGACACCATAGAGTACATTAATATGCTAACACCATGGCAATGGCGTTTTTCATGGTCAGTTAACCCTTACTGTAGTCAGTTCCAGTAATACTAGAATGAGTTGTATTAGTATCGTAGTTTCGATAAGAAGTAATGTTGCAATTATTACCTAAAGAAATAGTTCATAATTTTGGGAACTTTGCATGTTTGCATTTTTTGTAAAGATGATCAGAAGATTGAAATTGCACTTCTGTAAGTGGGAATAATACAACTGTAGCCAGCAGTCACTTAGCTTGGATAAGCACAAAAAACTGTATACAGTGGGAAAGAGCTTAATCCTCTAAAGCTTAATTTAAGCAGTATAAATGTGTTGATCTTCTCAATAAGCTCTAAGCAAATAAGATAAACAAATGTCCTTAACCGTCAACCTATTCCGTCAAATGTAGATTACATACGGACACCTGTCAGCTATTAGTATATTTTATATGACTACAGATTACATTATGTTTGCAGGGACCTGAGCAGCTCCTCCTGCTACAAGGACAAAGTAAATGGGCAGAAGGGAAAACGTACTCATGTCTATTCTCTCTTTTCACCCCTACATGCTGTAAACCAGCTCTGTGCTATCCACAAGCTCAAGTCTGACTCATGCATGCCATGGAAAGGCTATTTGACAGAAGCCTGACTAATAGTGTGACAGAAGGATGAGGTCATGTCAGTGCTGCTCACCAAATTTGCCACCAGTTTTTAGGCTTCAGAGACAGACGTCGCAGACAATATATTCATACAGCTCTTAGTGGTGCAGTCGAGGAGCTTATTGTCTTCCAGGTCAATACATATTCTCAACAAATATTAGATCTGACAGAAATATGGCAGACAAGTAACTTAAGCTTGTATGTTGAATTTGTGTTTTAAATTAAAGCCATCCTGCTATATGTTATATAATCAACTCGTAAAATACCACAAACCAACCATTACAAGGTGTAGTTTTCCGTTTCTAGTCTAAAATGAGTTTATTTGTAACAGTATATGGCAGTCAGAGTAAACATACAGTGAAAACTCTGAGGATGCCTCTTACCATATCCTCCCTGGACTTGTCCAGCATAGCCTCCAGTACCGAGGGCTGGAGAAACAGGGAAAGATCATTAACATGCAGGTGAGACACTGTTTATCTAGTCACACCTTTAAATGTAACTATGTTATAAGCATCTACATGAGCAGGAAGACGGAAACCATCAGATTAAACTAGTCGGCTCATTTAAATAAGAGACAATAGCTACACCCAGTGGATATAATATCACATTGGATGTCCTCTTATTTCTTTCGCCGTTAAATGTCGCAGGTTAAAGCATCTACTGGTTAGTGCCATCACCTCTAATGGGTTGAAGCAGGTTATAACTCTGCAAACTGTTACCTTGGCGCTTCCCTGATTTGGTCTCAGCACCATCAGATAACTCTGAAGTGTAACCAAGCCCTGAAACATAGTTCTAATTAGCATTACACTTTGTCTGTGAGTTAGTTACTAACCCTTTACCCCCTTAGTCCGTTTTCCTTTATAGGTCACTCACCAGCCCCAAGACCATCGCCGTAACCATTGCCATAACCTGCTGAGAGAATGAGATATATGTTAAAACATGTCAAATAAATAGTTACCTTCAACGAATATATATAATTAATTGGTGTATTTGATATTTCTGACTTTAACCAGAATCAAAAGGAATACAAATGTTGAAGATAGTTTTCCTGTGTGTTTGTGATATGCCTGTAAACAAAGCTTTGGCACCAACATCTCAGAAAACAACAAAAAAGACTAAACACAAAGGATCCACCTGTCGTAACTAAACATCACCACTCCTGCCAGTGATGGTTTTGATGAAGAGGGAAGCTTGGTCATTGCAGTCAGACAATTCACGTTTCAAGGATAAAGTTTAGTTTTTTGTATTTAAATGATCTTCTATGTAGTCTTCTTTAGGTGGCATTACACATGTTTGACCAGTGGCGAGCCGTCAAGGCCCTCTAGGCCCTCTGTGAGGGCCTAAAATATTCTAAAAAATAATATTTGAAAACATTAAAAAAAAAAAACGTTTTTTTTTTTAATGTTATTTTTTATATGTTTTTTTTGTTACATTTTTCATTAGTTTTACCAAAATAACTTGATTTAATTGTATTTAAAATAATATTTCCAAAGAAATAAATCCTTCGAATCTGCCTGTTCAGTTTCTGTTGGAATGTGAAGGGTTAAATGCCGTCTCTGCGAGTTATGTGAAGACGGGAGAGCTTGGTTGGTCCCTCTCTACATCTACATTCACAGAGGGCCCGCTATAGTAACTCAACGAGAGAGTAATGTCAAATGACAGTACAATTGACCAATCATATCTTCCCTCTAAATGGGCGGGCTTTATTTTCGCGGACTTTATGACAAGTTCCGCCCACTGTGAAGTCTATGCAAGGGGTGCAGTGACGCATCCTAAAACCCGGAAGTAAGCTTCACTCGGATTCCCTCGACAGAAAGCAATGGATAGGATTTTGGAAAATAGCTCGAAATAAGGTCTGTGGAAAACAAACCTGTTAGATAAATGCACGTTTTGTTCAGCCGGATAATATCCACATGTCTACCCTACTTTTATTATTTTCGAATCATAAATCTAATCGATAGATTTATGATCGATAGATTTATAATTAGCATAAGTTCGTTCATGGTGGCTCACTTCAGTGATAGTGAGGACATCATTGCGAAATTATTAACTGAGTCATTTTCAAGATTGAGTTACAATGATAAACTGGAGTGGCAAAGGATCAGCTGAATGACCCGCAAGTGCCCTTCAGAGGGCCTAGGTATACAAGTCACGGCTCGCCACTGTGTTTGACTGATAGTATTTTAATGTTTCTATACATATGGTAATGAGTTGCCATTTACCGTGGCCATTGCCTGCCATGGGACCCAGGTATCCTGTTGCTCCCTCACCATAGCCTGTGAAGACACATTCAAAGCATCTTGTATGGGACATGGACTCTCGCTATTTCTGCATATTTTTGTTAAATACATCAATATTTAACTAATGACCAATTTAATAAATTGTAACATGAAACACTACTAGAAAAACATGACTTTCGTGTATATAAAAAAGAGGGAAAAGCTTCCATGGGAGTGCAATTTACAAAAACAGACTGAAATGGTTTGTGAGTAATCCTTTGATTTCCAAAACACTATCAATTATTCAACAGAAAAGAAAGGAGGAGACCGAAGCAGCTTCTCTTTGACCTTGAAAAAGGGGGAAGTATTAAATAAAATGCAGTTGAGCTTTTCTTTCTAGAAACTCAAAAGCCAATGAGGGGTTTACAGGGAAAAGTAGCAGCTGATTTTCTGCTCCTTGATACATGATCTTATGTGCTCCATTCAGAATCTGAACATGAAAAATCCTGATTCTCTTTGTTTTCAGACAAGCTTCTTCATTTGCCATTAGGTAGGCATAATAAAGGAGCAACAATTAGTGGATACCCACCTTGTCCGAGAGCAGCAGCAGCTGAGTTTTGGAGAGACAGAAAGATAAGAGTTAGAAAATGGCGCAAAAATAATCCATATCTTTTCAAGAAAAGAGTAATTAATGAAAATGCACCTCCAAGTTTGCCAGCTGCACCCCCCAGGTATGCTCCCTGTCCTAAACCTGCAGGGAGTGATTGGAAATCTTAACCACAGGTTATATAAAGTATCTGCTATCTGCTAGCAATAAGTGTTTTCTGTGTTATGTATCACTGGCCAACCTTACCTGCTCCGTAGCCCCCGGCCCCCAGGCTGGCTCCCAGATAGTTTCCTGCTCCACCCATATAACCTGCGGAGAAAGGAAACACAAGCTTAGTCAAAATCATCTGTGGTTTTCTGTAAACTGGAAAGAAATGTCGCCAGTTTTTATCTGTAATTAAAAACATGAATATTGATCAGTCAGTACTGCTATGGGTTAAAAGTTTGAAACGCATGATGACACCGGGACATGATATCCCACATCCTTCGTTTGTCTCCATATATAGAAGATACAGAAGCTGCTGTTAATCGAGTGTGTGGTGTAACGTGTGCCGCTGACAGCGGAAGAAAAAGCAAAACACACACACACAATAGATTTTAACATGTTTGCCAGGATTGTATGGTTTTTCGCACCGTCTGCCCTGGACAATTTCCTGGATTGAATCCTAAAAACCACATCACCAGATGCTGAATCGTCTTCATACATCTCTGTTTAATAGCTCTTTACAAGTCTACTTAGAGGGAATTAGACACATTTCTCTTTGTTTTACATAATGTCTTCTCTGTCTCTCAATCTCACTCTTTCCCTATTAAGTTTTCTATAACACAGTGATTTCTGAATAGTTATACAACAAAAAGAAAGACAATAGGATATTGAAATATTGTTGTAGGTATTACTTCTACTGTAAGAAACCTGATAACTATATCAGGATGACTTTCTAGAAACACAAAATGTAATACATTCAAAGACCCCAACATAAAGCACCAGTTTTGTCTCTTTAGATACAGTTTAACATGCTGCAGCCATTATATAATAAATGGTGTAATGTGAAGGTAAAGAGATTACGTTTTAAAATGCCAATTATCTTCTAAAACAACATACCAAGGACAATAGAAATGTGTATTTTTGACACTGGCACTGTTGAACACTGTAAAGGGAAAATACTTTTCTAATTTACAAGATACTAGTTTAGGCCTGTATATTACACATGATACTACATACTGTACATCAAAAGTAGATATCAAAGATATCAAACTATATTGTGTAGTTTGATATATAATCAGGAACACATCAGTACAAGAACTGAAAAAGGCCTTTGAAGTAGATCTTGTATAATAATAATAATAAGCCACACCCATCCTACCATGAAGCATTCAAATGTTAAACTGAAAAGGAAACTGATGCTGATTTATTCTCAGTTGGTTTGTTATTTGGGTCGAAATAAATCCTGAGAGCATGCTGTTGGCAGCTGAGGGTCCTAAAGCACCTGGACCGTAAGAAACCAAATGCCCAAGGCCTTGAATCCATAACAACTGAAAGCAATAAAAGCCATGTATCTGATTAAGCTATATCCCAAAGATCACAACAATCATTAATTCTGTGAAACTGATTCCAGCTTACAAACTCTTCATAATGCAGAAAAAAGAATAAAACAAACATTGTGTTCTGGCCACTACTCTCTTGTAGTACCAAGCTAAGTGACTGGAGCAGTCAACAACAAATATTTCTTGGTTGCATTTTTACATCACATTAATAGAGAAAGAACACAGGGCCAAAGCTTCAGAAAATAGATCAGTTGAGTTTTTAAAGACAACAATCTCCAGAAAAACAAGTCATACTTGATGAATCATGCAAAACAAACACATGTACAGTAAATGAACTGCATTTAAGTTGTAATTTAGTATATGTGAACTGATAGACAGTGAAATGTGGGCTGAGAAACTGTAGATCTAAAAAATGCACAAAAAACATTATGATGGTATATATTATATAAAGACAAAGCTTTGCTCTTACTTGTTCCCTGGTCATTCCTCCCAGTCTGTCCTGGAATACCGAGAGATTTTGCCTCTGTGGCATCATGTTCAGCGTGGGAAAGGTGTTTGGATTTCTGACCCTCAGCAGTGAAGCGTTCAGCTTCCTGCCCTTCCATTAAGGTGATGCCTAACCTTTGGGTGCCTTGAGTTTGAAGATTTAGTGAACCGCGACTATGATTTTCTACAGTCACGGCTCCATGGATTCTGGGCTTACTTTTGTCTTTAGCCACAAGGCCAAGCTCTCTGACACCCTGCCCGTCTGCTACAGCAGATACATGGCCTCTGCTTCCCTGCCCTTGTTGAAGAGAGAATATGTTGTCTCTGCCATCTTGATTTGGTGAAATAGGCCGTTGATAAGTTGTTTCTTCTTGAGCTTGGGGAGTTGCACTTCCAAGATGTTTGCCGTCCTTCCCAAGCTGAGCCTGGAGCAATAAACCTCGGGTGGACTGTGTTTCCGAACCCAAAAGCTCATGGTGATTGATTCCTAGCGCATGTAACAAGTCTCGATTGGATGCACAGTTTGGTTTTTGCTGATTATGTTGGATAGATGAATCATAGTCTCTTGCACCCTGAACCTGAGCGGAGGCAGAACTCAGGCTTTTGATGTTGTCTTTAACAAGAGGCAGTTGGTGTCGTACACCTCTTGCGGCCAGTGTGGATTCGCGGCTTGCTGTGCCCCTTCTTTCTAAGAGGGTAGGATCATATCTTTCTCCTCCTTGTGGAACACCCATCCCAAAACCTTTACTCTGTTTATCAAGGGGTATCAAAGGTCCACGATGTGATGCTTTAACCAGAGGATTAAGGTTTCCATGTGGCAGTACAGCAGGTCTAAAGCCAGTTTCTGCCTGTGATTCAGAAGCAGTAAGTATATTGCCTCTCCTCATGTTGGGTATTTCAGGTCCAATATTTCTGTCTGCATACGAGGGACCAAGTGCTATGCTCTTTTCTTTCTTCAGATCTTGAACAGCGTGGCCCAGATTGGCCATCATAGGTCCACCCAATTCTGCTGCAGACGCACCTGGCAGAGAAATATCATCATGCATTCACGATGTCTTGGTGGTTCAGAGACAACAGTTTCTTTGAGGGTCAACAGCACACTGTAGTGGCCAGTGGCAAATATATTTAGTATTCTTTTTAATTGATGTGTGTATTAGAGCAATTAATGCAATATAACACATCATCCATACAGTAGTCGGTACTCAAATAGAGGTCATTCGAGACCAAACAGACGAGACAAAATGCATTATGGCCTGAAGTTAGTCCAGTTTCAGATGACAGAACCAGATCATCACCATAATAAGAACTAAGAAGACACACAACTGAAGCCACACTTTGGAAAGACAAGTGCTCATCACTGAGAAGAGCAATGACATCAACACATGACAACAAAATGTTGCCACCCTAAATTGTTTGAATGCCATAAAACGCATCAGTGTTACAGCACAAGACAAAGTCGCAAAATGACTCATCATTGTGTAGAAAACAACTGACAACAAAGTTTAGTAAAACACGGACAGGGTACAAAGGCAGAAACCTACATTTCAAAACTTTGAAAAGTGAAAATATTTGCAGTTTCAAATACTTTTCTTGAAACAACAGACATTTTAATGCATTCTCTAACCCAATTACTTTCAAGAACCAGAACTGTGACCAGAATACGGTCATTTATTATTATATGTCATTGCTCAAAAAAACTTGATATCGTCCCAAGAATTAAGTGTGCGTGATAACATTGTTTTGGTGCAAAATGCAGCTTTCACAATCTCAGAGTGTCATTATAATCTGACTTCAATTCAGATGTTTGTATATACTAATTGTGCATAACCTATATTCCGGCCCTTGTAAACCACTAAGCACTAAGTAAATATCAAACCACATTAAGGTTTTTAACTGTGGTAATAAGAACTGGGGAACTCATGCAACATGCAACACAGATGAAACACTGATAGACAAACACAGTTAAACATCAGCCCTGTGCACACTGAAACAGGAGCTGATGATAACAGTACAGATGGAAGGTGATATTTCATGCACACAAAAGCCAGCATGAACTCGACCTCAGTGAATCACAAGACACTCATTTCACAGAGGTTAAAGACAAATACAACAGAGGACAAAGACAGACGCAGACCGACAGAAACAAACAAACAGGTTGCTTTGTTGAAGGTTTTACCAGGTTTGAGCTGCTTAGCCTTCTGTCCAGTTGGATAGCCAAGTCCAATTCCTAATGATAGCAGATCAAAGTTGAAATCTTTTTTAATTTTAAATTAGTTTTCATTTTATTATTTCCGTTTATTTTGCTTGCTATAGTAGTTGAAGTTTACTTTCAATTATTCTAAGAGGTTGCGTATTTCTTTTAAAATATATTTCGTTTTGGTAAACATTTTTTGGAAAAGGTAACATTTCGCAGAATTATGTAGCTGCCCTTTCACTAACACATAACTAGAAAATGTGTCAATTGCAATATCATTCTGACCCAATACATTGAAATCATGATTTGATTAATGAGTCCAACAAGACTAGACTGAATGTGAAAAACAATGGCGATTCATTGTGAAGCAGTTGCGGCATAGCGCCATCTCCAGGTTTTTAGATGTATTATTTTAATTGTAATCAAGCAATATTGTTTCAATTTGTTTGTAGATTATTGCTTTTAATGGGTTTCAGTTTGGGTATGAGAAATGTAAATTATTTCACTCACAGAGTTCCATGAATGAGACCATACAGTTCTACAGTCTTCAGTCTACACAGTAATTTGCGAGGATGAGCCTCTCTGTAAATGTGGTTTAGGACAAATGGTTATATATTTTATTTTTTTTAAATGTTGGCCATGGTTTTGCAAGACTCTCTGCAATCTCATAAACCTGATAACTGACAGCAGAAGTGTGTTTTTGGCAGGAGCGATGGTACACAAATAATCCCCAGCATACAAATCTGAGCAGATGGAAGAAGTAATGGGTTTTGAGGTAAGACTTGATTATTCACTTACCTGGTCGCACACCCTGATATCCCATGCCGGCTAAAGACCCGTATCCTGGCAAGAAAACAAATGGCCAAGTTCAGAGGATGTGGAGTAAATCTGTAACTCTGACAAGTACTCTGATTACATCACTACCTCCCTGGGTTTTTCAATCTGCGCCTTATATAAAGTTCAAAGACAATGACAGAGTGCCCCAGAGTGGAGATTCATCAAAAGAACAAGCTGAGGGTTTACAGAGAGTGCAATTCACGGTGTGCTCTCTCTTTTTGGCAAACAGCGTAAGGAACTCATCAAACCATAAAATGACTTACCTGGCTGAATGCCGAGGCCAGCTCCATAAACTGGAAAAATCACAAAAACAGAGGTTTATTTACAAAGTTTCTACCGCCAGCAGTGTTAACATGAGATTTGCCTTCTTCCTTTCCCCTTAGACTTTACACAGGCTGATTTAATGTAATACCAGTAAAACACTAGTGAACAGGTTTGAATAAAGGTTGTGAACATAAACAGGAAGTCCTGTTACTAAATTGCAGCTGCTTGGGATAAACACATTCATGTGAGACAACAATGGGTTATGTAAAGCCAGACAACTTTAAAATCTTATTTCTCTATAACAGAAAAATGTATTTATCAACCAGCAACATCTATATTTCTAAATAAAATATAAACTGGATAATAACATCTTCCTTTATAGGCCAGTCTTACCACGTTTCCCCCCCTGGCCCAAACCCATTCCCATTCCATTTGGGAGTCCAGTCCCTAAGCCCATTCCTGTGCCCAGAGCAGCACCTGAAATATCAAGAAAATGTTATGTCAAAAATAGGCAATATATTAATAAATTACATTAAATATCAACATGGAGCAAGTAAATAATGCACAACAAAATTCAAGGGAATATAATAAATGTTTATATTGATGTACCATATCCGCCCTGCGCTCCATATCCGCCCTGCGCTCCATGTCCACCCTGTGCTCCATATCCACCCTGTGCTCCATATCCACCTTGCCTCAGGCCCGCTCTACTTCCTAACCCAAGAGATCTGTAACCTCCTGTGAAAACAATCAAAACAAATATTTCACATTGTTTTTGGATCATCATTGTGACCAATATGAAAACATTATATATAATATAGATGTTCTTAAGACAACTTACCAAGATTAAGCTGAGCCCCTGCATAACGGCCAACTAAGATTTAAAAAAAGGAAAAATAAGCACAAACATTACTTTTCTGAAGTGAAAGTGATATGAGACAGTGCTGTGTGCAGAGAGCTGAACTTACTCCCTGTCTTCATTGCTTTGGTGCCATATCGGTTTCCCATTGCTCCAAGGGCACCTGCAACTGAGAAAGAAACGGCATTTTATACCCATTAAATGTCTTCTACCTGTGTAGCTGTCCTGCGTTGAAGGAAGGAATATACATACCTCATAAATGGAACAATTTGAATAAATATCAAATGTCTATCTGAAGCAACTTCAAGTTCTAGTTCAATCGTATTAGCAATTAAACAGAAGCAGGAGTTGGCAATGAATATATATATATATAAAGAATGTCCTGCTCTACAACATATAGCCTACAAGTTAGCTACAGAACATTTGTATATTTTAAACTACTAAGCATCCACAAATGTATGATTCATTCAGAGAAGCTGCTAATATTAGGGCATTCTTTTTTAATTAAATATATGTGCCCTTTAGAGTGAGTTACCATTTAGTGTAAAAGTTACGTTATAGGTTAATGAATGCCAAGAAAATCACTGACCTCCAGGTTTCACTCCAACGCCGACACCTGCCCAAAAAAACACAGACACAAAAAGAAGGGACTGCTAAGTAACTTGAGCAAATATCAAATGTAATAACAAATACTTGTTTTTGTCTTGTCATTTCCAAAATGTTAAAAATGTAAAACGTTGTGACTTACCTCTGGCTGGCAGCATTCTCCCCCAGGCTACACGTTGAGGTCTAACCCCTACAAATGAAAATAAAACACAATAGTATTGTACATTTGGTGGGAGTTTGTTCTTTACATGTTTCTTAAAAAAAGCAAAAATGCAAAAAACAAAATAAACAGAAAGTAAATAAAACATTTATAAATTGCTACAGACAGGTAAATACAAATATAAAGTAACTCTACAATGAACGAATGAAAATCATGATCACATAATGCACTTAATGAAGCACGTGCCACAATGCACAAAATTGAGCATTGTAGAAAACAAGGTTTTTCACATTTATAGTTTTCAGTTATTTGCCACCTAAAAAAACCAATACATGTTTATTTTCCTGGCTTAAAAGCTTTCTAGATAATTGACATGGAGTGTCAGTTATTTTAATTTGTATATTACTTGCAGGCGTTTACCCTTACCTCGTTGAACACTCTTTGGCAGACAAATAGATGGCATTATTTAAAAAACAACACAAATGCCACCACAGTGTCAGATGAATGCTGCCACCTGTCATGGCAGCAGGGAGGAGAGAGGAACACATCGCCCTTGATGGCTACAGAAGATGAGACAAAATGGAGCGACTGTGTGGAGTCTGTTTGTTCTCCTCACGATTGGTTGTCAAATTTGACCTGCCTCTGTTATCTTTTCATAGTATCCTTTGATTCAAATACATTTTATAATATAATCTCCTGATGGATCCATGTGGGTTTTGCTCTACCTCAATCTCACAGACATGATATTTAACAAGTGAGTGAGATTGAGTCGCCTGAGATCTAGCAGAGCATTCAAGGTCAAATCATTTTGACATAAAGAATAATGCATCAAATGTTGGCTATTTGCTGGTTTATAAAGCTTTGAATGGTTTAGGCCCAAAATACATTTCTGACCTCCTGCTAAATTATGAACCATCCAGATCTCTCAGGTCTTCAGGGACTGGTCAGCTTTCTGTCCCCAGAGTCAGAACTAAACATGGAGAAGCAGCGTTCAGTTATTATGCTCCAAACATCTGGAACAAACTCCCAGAAACCTGCAGGTCCGCTGCAACTCTGACTACTTTTAAATCCAGGCTGAAGACTTTTCTTTTTATCGCTGCTTTTAATTGAAACTGAGCCATTGTGTTCATCAGTAAAGTGGAACTTCTGTGTGAACTATTCATATCTTAAACTGCACTGTAACTTTTTATTCATGTAATTTTTATTCATGTACTTTTTATTCATGTATTTTTTCTTTTAATGTTTCTTTTATTATCTTTTTAATAAATGCCTGAATGTCTTTCATTTTTGTAAAGCACCTTCAATTGCCTTGTGTTGAAATGTGCTATATAAATAAACTTGCCTTGCCTTGCCTATTTAATAAAGTGACATCTTACCATAATATAACTGCCACGACTTATAAATGCAACGTTGGCAATGCAAATATCAAACGTTTTTGCAGAAGTAACCAGAATGTGCTTTACATTTGAGAAAGGTCAAAAGTGTTAAGTCATTTTGTTTAACCTCAACAAATATTTAAGTTTTGTGTTAAGTTTCAATGTGTTTTAACCCTGTGTTTAAATATTATTCAACCAATAATCTACAATAAAGGATATTTCCTAAAAGTGCATAGTATCCATGATCACATAAAGATTACACAAATCTAACACATCTGATTATTTAAAGTTAGTATGTACAAGTAATTCTGATAAGAGGTAAATAGAGGAATTGATTAGGAATTAAGAGCACAGAATATGTGCTACAGATAATACATTTCAAGTTCTTTGCAATAGTTTAAATGTGATCAAAGAATACAACCAGGGTTCGGTCTTAACATTTGAAATACTTTTTTCTTCCTTACCGCCTTGCAGAGTTTGCTGAGTCAACCAGAGAACCAGGGAAGTCTGGAGCAGAGCTCGAAACAGCATGATGGAGGAGATCGGGAACCAAAAACTGATCAGAGCTGACAGAGAGCAGAGAGACCAAAGGATGGACAGATGAATGGATACTAAAAGCACCAATACCCTGATGTCTTATATATGGTGTTCTCTCTGACACACTCCCACTGCCCAGTCCTGCCCTCTGCACACACACTTGTATGATTGGTCAAAGCCAAAGGCCCATTTCTGTTAATTTCCATTAGTTGAGAATGCACACACACAAAATGACTAAGATACATTTTTTTCCTGCACCTGACAATTCACACCTCTGTGCTTGGTAGAGTCAGATTGCATGAGTAGTGGTTTATTGTAGCATAATTCTTCTGAAATTCTAAATATCACTGTTTTACCGGGTGAAGTTCAAATGCTTTATTCCACAGTAACAATAGAAAAGGAAAATCATTTAAATCATTAAAAAGACTATGAGCAAGGAGAGAAATTGAAGTGTTCCCCTGTAGGTCTTGTGAAAAGACTAGTGTGGAAAATAAGGGTTATAAAGTAATAATAAAACTATAAGGGAGGTATGAATACACAAGTCGCAGCACAGAGCAAATAATTTGATCTGGACTGTGAGAAATAGAGAATGCAAATCACGTCAGATATCAGCATCCTGTGGGCTTGAGGAAAGAAGCTTTTTCTCAGCCGCTCTGTGAATTCGCTACTGAAATGTGTATTCTGTTGCTTCCTAATCTTACAAGCGCTGGTGCTGCACTTTTTGGTGTATAAGTCCTGCACAGCAGAGAGCAGTGTTGATCTGATGGTACGCTCTGCTGAGTGCACCACTCTCTTTAAGGCTCTAATAATTGACTTCAGGAAGAAGCCTCACTCTACTTTACCTGCAGTTATTTATGGTCACGCTGTTGAAGTAGTTCAACAGTGTGGCTGTGTATTGGGAAAATATCTGGCATATCAATACATACTGGGACAGGTGTTATGATTCACAATCAAACAGTGGGATATATATACCGTATATACCAACACTGACTCTCTCCCCATTTTCAAATCACGCCTCAAAACATATCTCTTCACACTCGCATATCCACCCTGATCATTATCCATCACACAACCTCTGTTTTTTATTTATTTGGTTATTTGATTGATTTATATACTGCATTGTCTTGTTTATGCCTCTTATGCTGGTGTTATGTATTGTGTATCTTGTTTTTTATGTGTTTGTACGGCGACCTTGAATTATTATTATATCCCCTGTCACCTTACCTGTTGTCTAGCAGAGCAGTTCCCAGAACAGTTGGCAATGCCCCCTATTGGGATGCTTTCAAGAGCACCACGGTAAAACTTTTCAAACACACACAACATTATTGTCCTGGTGGAAAAGCATCAGGAACAACAGTTAACATTCAGACATAACTATCAGTGAACAACGTCAATACAAATGAATTGCCCTTCCCCCAACATAAACAAGCAAAACAATTTGATAAAGACAGAAAATGATATGTGTTTTGTGAGACTGGGTTGGATGTGTTGAAGTCAATGCTTCTTTGAACAAACTCACCTGAGACAAAGACATTTCTTCTTAGGATTTGTTAGTGGAGTAAACGTAACATCTCCTATAAACAAGAAGAGGAAAAGAATGAGAGAAAGCAAACAGCATAAAGCTCCTGGGGAAAAGTGGAAATTGCAAAGTAAACATGACATACTTTTTAGGAATTTGTGTGTGTTTAGTTAATGGAAGAAGAGAAGAGCATTGTAATCTTACTCGGCTGTCATTGGGAAATATAATGTGTGACAGTGTTTTGAGACTGTGTACAAGGAGCATTAGCCCATGGTGGCATAAACACCACATTCCAGGATCATCCACATAGTCCTATAGCGTGGGAGGTCCCTAGCCGTTTCTTAATCAACATTTTACTTTATGTCTTAACCTCAGACAAGGCGAGATTTGATGCAAACATCTGACTGGAAAACCACATATGATGGTTATGCTTTGAAAGACACCAGTTGTTTTTTATGCCACCTGAGGAAAACTGAAGTCACACACGTGCAGACCACCACATTGTCTTCTTTGGTGGTATTGAGCATAAGACAATAACTTAACCCACGTCTGACTCATTACTCCCTCACCCATGATTCACTTCTAAACATTTATCTGTCTGCATGTTTGAGAGGTGCCCCAATCAGATCCATAAGGAGTGTCCATTTTTCAAGACGAGCTGATGTTGTCAGAGGATGTGCAGACTGTGTTGGCTCATTAACCCGGAGAACTGTATGGGAACAGGGAGTGCAGTGTCTCTGGAGACACATCTGGATGGCAGTTTCAGTGCGGTCGAATTAGAAACACAGTGTGCCCCAATATATACATACATGTTACATTGTGTGTGTTCGTGTCCTTGTGTCCTTTAAGGTCGATAGAGGAGGGAAACATGTCTTGAGTCTGGCTGGTTAAAGACCTGCAGGTAGACACAGGATTATGTTAAGGTAGGTTACATTTACCAAACAGCATATCAAAAACATCTTAGAGCTACAATAAATGTCACTGTAATTTTTGGAATAGAAAAAAACATAGCATTTTGTGACTCACAATGGATGATAATAAATATTGACTTACCCTCATATATAAGTGCATCAAGTAAAGTTCATAGGCAAGAAGAGTGTAGCTAAATAAGTTTATGTTTTGCTTAAAACATTTTTCAAAATCTATAATGAAAATATAATATTGTAAGCTGAAAGCATTATGCTAAGCTAAGCATCATGGTTTTAGAAGGTGAACAATTTAAAAACATTTAGGGTTATTGCCTAATTAGCTTTTAACCTACTTCTGACAAATATTGGATGTCAGCACAGGCCCATTGTATATTTTAAAGTCAGTTTATACAAAATGTAAGAGTACTGGGGTCACATGGTTTATGTTCCCATATATAGAAATCATCTTTAAACTTCAAGGCCGCTTTTTCATGAGATTCTGTACAACATACAACATATCCAGCGTGACCATAAACAATGGTCACCCGATGCTGTCGTAGAATAGTCCATTGTATGGCATTGTCCTAAAATAACAGAGAACAAAACCACAAACAGGAGAGTAAACACAGACAGCAGTGTCTGGGTTAAAAACGATGTTCCTGTCTAAGGAGGAAACACCTGCAGCTGATTAACTTCGTCAATTAATTTCCTCTATCATCTCAAAATTCACAGAGCGCCACTTATTGGTCGGAGGCGAAAATACAGATAATCCCAACTGAGCATCCAATATGAACATTTTCCTTAAAGGTTACCTATTGTGCAAAATCAACTTTTTCATGTATTTTCTACATCAACACGTGTCCCCTCTGTTTAAAGAGATTCTGAAAGTTTCAGGAAAAAAGATTCACTCACTTTTAGTCCTGATCCATTTATATAAAAACCTGTCTGAAAATGAGCTGATCAGATTTTGGCCACTTTATGATGTCATACATTTGTTTTGGGTTGTGTAACCATTAGCCAATCACCAACCAAGGTAACCCCCCACACCTTATCACCTGAATCCCCTCCTAGAGCACCATTGTGTTCTTTTTAACCAAATGTCTCACAGAGGGGCTTGGGGAGGGGCTCCTTGTTTTCATCTAAAGTAACAGACACAGAATCAGCACTTTTGAAACAGGGCTGAAACAGAGGGGATTATGGGATGCAACAAAGCTCTGTTTGGTATTTGGGGCCAAACACTTCAGAGACATGTTTTGTACATATCTGAGACCAATAATATATTGATGAAAAACAGTATAATAGGGGACCTTTACCATCTTCACCTTTGCTGTTAAAAAAAACCAGTTTTAATAATTGTATTCTTAGATTTGTTTTTCTTTTTTACCTGGGGACTGGAATAGTTGTGTTTATTAGTGGTTTTATGCTCTTCTTCTTTCAGCTGGTAAGCCATTGGGCCACCTCCAGGGGGGTTAATATTAGTGTTCAGCTCCATGTAGCATATACACATTAGGGAAGGAACAAAAGGCCTACAGAGGGACGGCTCACTCTTTATTCAGGTGTTTCAGTTAAACCTGCATCTGGCTGAAAGGAATTGTTCCCAGAGGAGAGGAAAAAATGACAATTAGGTTTACAAGACATAAAGCATCAGCAAATGTAATCAATCAATCGGGAAGCTCGTTCAGTATTCCACCACTGAATGAAAAACAGTTAAGTTGGCTGCTGAAAAACAAATGAATGAGACGAATGATGTTGAAGTTGTGAGGAATTGCAGAGATGTCATAAAACAAATTGATTATAGCCTTTTAGCTGCCTTCTTACTGCCACTAGCAGCCAGTCAGTGGTACTGTGCATTTCCACTGGCTTGTTGAATATAACATTTAAAAACACAGACCGGTAATCAAACAAAACTTGTCAGCAAGTGTTTGGCTTACTTGCTGTGTGAGGTTGTAAGTAAACAGCTGCAGATAATAAGACATTGAACTCTCACTCTGTCTGCACGGCACCTGCTGATGTGATGGACAGAGTATGGAAGTTTCCAAAGAGTCTGTCCAATGAGAGGCAGCCCTCTCATTGCTGAAAATCCACTGCTGTCTCAGTGTTGGTCAATATTAATGGTGGATTTTGACTACTCGTGGTTTGTTTAAGTGTCTGCAGCCAGAGCAAACCTACAGACAGCTCACAGTCCCACACACTCACAATTAGAGATGTCATGTATACAAGCACATTCTTTATACATCATTTCCTTTTTTGCCCAGTCCTATACTGCCGAAACAAGTATCAGATAGCAGCAAGCCATAGTTTAAAGTCCCTAGTTGTGGAAGGAAAAAGTACAAGGCAAAGTTTAGCATAAAAAATATACATCAAATATCTTGAATGGTCTGCATTGAGGGGAGAAAGCTAGTCCCTGTCCAAAAGCGGTATAACTTCAATAAAGCGCTGTGGGCTGCTCTGAAGTGAATGCAGGAATATGGTAACCAAGTGTGCAGAATAGAAAGAGCTACACAGATTTACAAGTCAAAGCTGGGACAGAGTGTTACAGCGGCTGCTTTCACCTCAGTCCAACATCACACACACTTACTGCATTGCACACAATCCACAGTATTCTTTCTCCTGGCATAAAATAAACACAGACAGGGGTGATGTGCGTGGGATATTGTGAAAGGTGACTGGTCTGAAAACGTTTGCAAAAGCTGATTTGCCCACACTAAAGAATGATTTGAATTGTTTGAATTTTAGTTTGCTGCATGTTATCCTCTCTTTCTCTGTCCTATTCCAGCATTTAGGTTTTTATCTAATAAAAGCAAAAGGCCATGAAGAAATTGTTTTAAAGAAAGATTATAAGAGGATACATCATTACATTTGTGTCTGTCCACTTTGCTGTGTTGAGTCTGACAGCAGATCAGAGCGGCTGTTGACAGCAATATTAGTATGCTAGAAGCACAAATCTCAGTAGGATTCATCCTCTGGCCACCATGAATGTAAAAATTACAAAATCTAAAACCTTTAGGGCTGGAACTTCTGATTACTTAAATGTATTGGCTTTGTTCGTTTCGTCTATAAAATGTCAGGAAAGTGAAAATGTCCATCCCAGTTTCTCAAAGTTCAAACCGATGTCTTTACATGTCTTGTTGTAGCAGTCCAAATCTCAAAGACATTTTGTTTAATGTCATATAAATCAAAGTAAAGCAGGAAATATCCATATTTGAAAGCCTGCACACAGCAGAGCAGCTATAGCTAAACAATAGAAGTATTGCATTGACTATAGGTTTGGAAACATACACATTATTAACACAATGAAGCTGATAATAAAAAGATATACAATGTCTGCGGAGTGTCTGCCTGTGACTAGCCTACATGTCTGTGCATGGACTCTTCATGATGGTGTTTAACCTCAGCCCACAATAACACAAGTGCGAGACGTTCAGACAGACTGACATCACAGCTGGCTCTGCTGCTGTTTGCTCTGCAGCCGGCCGCCGCCCAGACGGAGGCCACAGGCTCACTAATATTGTGTAAATCAAGAATTAACCCTTAACACACTTAACAGAGAAAAAAATAATGAATTTAAAATGTCAGACAGTGGCTTTTTGTGGAGACGTTTCTAAGATAGTCAGGGTGTAAGAGAAATTACAATCCTTCATTTGATCAAAGTAGGATGACCATTATCTAAAATAAAGTAATGAAAGGATATTACTATCACTATTATAACTTAGTAACATGTTATTTTGATTGTCAACAAATACTCAAAAGAGCATTTCAATGTTGTAGTTCATCAATGTGAAGCCAATTTTAGATACTTTAAAACGTTTAAATAATACTGGGTAGATGAGTACAACACTTCATGATATCATATAAGTATATTGTGTGTTTTATATTTAAAAAAGTAACTTAAGCCATCAGACAAATATAGTGGAGTAAAAAGTGCAACATTTGACTCAGATTAGAGGTATAAGCATTACATTGAACTTGTAAAACTTAACTAATGATGATGACAGTATTAAAAGAGAATACAGCATTTTTGCCAAACTTTAAAAGTTGCAATAAACTAAAATGTACTTGCATGTACATTTAAATCCAAATGTATGTAACACATTTTTTTCAAAGGTTATTCTGAGTCACTTTATCTGTC